TACAATGCAGTGTAAGGAATACTGTATAATCATTTTTGCAACCTCTAATAGGAGTGATAATTGTTAGTTGGGTCATCAACAAAAGATGACAACAAGATCAGAGAAAATCTGAGGCAATTTGGAAAATTAGCTAAATGTTTTTTCATATGCTTAAATGTCAAAAAATTGATGAAATCATTTTTGTGTTCGAAAAGTCGGCGTTTTTGGCAACCTCACACGGAGCCTTTGCAACTTAAATGTCGGTGACTCTGCAAACTAGTAATATCACGTTTATGCGATCACAGACGACTAACCATGGACAGGTGTTTCGTGCTATTTGACAACTCTTCAGCATGGTATAGGCTTGGTCTCGGTGGGCAACGAACGAAAGCTGAGCAACTTTACTCTATTCAGAGTATCAGGTCTAACGAAATACGACAGCTCAAAGTACCACCAGTACAATAATCTAAAAACGTTTTACAGAACACGTTGTCTAGGAACAGTACCACATTCAAGATTCAAGCGTACGGCTTTTATGAATTTTCGGGTTTCGTTCTTCACCCATCATTTGAGTCACCGACAAAAAGTCGGAAACAATAATCACCACATTGCAGACGGACATACAGCTTGGATTAAATTGCGTTCTTTGGGGCGTATTTACATGCCGTTGAGAAACTTTTAAAGATTTCATGGTTTACGAGGTATTTGGGAGAAACTAAAATTTGCCCAAATCGTATTAATTTTTACCTTATTTGAAGACAATCAAAAAAGTAATGGAACTTTTGCATTGACACTTTTTAGTCTTTACATGATGGTGCTTTAAAATTTTGTGCCCGACGTTTCATTTTTGAGAAACCACCATCAACTTTATTTTTTATATGGTCTTTCTTTTTCTGCGAATTCAACGATATACCTATCACATGTTGCATTTATTTTCTTGGTTATGAGGAAACATCCGATTTTTTTTATTTTTTTAAGTAGGCGTTGCAAACAAATGCTTGACTTGACGTAAATACCTGTCACAAGGTATTGTTATTATTGTGTATTGTTAATATTGCTTTATTATCGTCAAAGCTGTCAGGCGGCCGTTTTAGCAATGAAGAAAAGTTCGACATGCTGACCAGCTATATTTTGTGCTAAGTTGGGAGATTTTTACCCAAATTTGGGGCATTTTTAGCTGAGAAAAATTTTGGCATAGAATGTTCTGGGAGGAATGACATGTTTCGTGGGTAGAAAGTACCCCCCCCCCCCCCGAACTTTGGATCAAATTTACTCCATCCCATTAATTAACGGTTAAATAGCAATTCTGGAGATTTCTGTCCGTCCCATCTGGCAACGCTGTGCTTTGACCGAAATAAAAAATAAGTTACTTTTGAAATTCTTCTACGTCACTGGCGCTCCTACGGGGGAGGGGTAAAGGGGGTAATTACCCCTCCAGACGACTCGAGCAGTCTTTGAAAAGGTGATATAAAGTAAAAGTCTTATGAAAAAATCTGTAACTTTAAGAAAGGATAGCGGCAACACTGCCAACCCGCTCAGTGCGCATGCGACTAGCGAGTACTCTCCCATCAACAGCAACGGTGTGCGCTTCTTCCTGTTGGAACAGGTATAGTCTAGTCTTTTATGGTCTGGTCTAGTGTCTAAATTCTGTACCAGTCCGGAATCCGCAACAAAATTTGGTTGGGTAGTGAACAAGCTGAGTTTTGTTGATCTGGTTGGTATTAACGCTATTTTCTATGTTCTATTGATTGTTTATTTTCCACGCATAAGCCAAAAAATAATTCTGTTTAATTTAATTTTTATACTATAGAACAATCGTGTCTAAAAAAATGACAGATGGAAAAATGGAAACTTAATATAATTTCAATTACGAAGTGTTTGGTCCATATCATTATCATCTATGTCTATTCTGTCTCGGAAGTTCCTGTATATAAGCACTTCAGTGCATTTCGTTTGTCCGAGATGGCAACTTGTCTTCCCATGAAAAATATACCTTATTGAGGTGTGCAATGATCCCTAATGACTTTTTCAAATATCCCTATTCCACACACTTGAAAAATAATAAAGAAGTGAAATGTTACTTATAAGAAAAACACTGAGAAATTTCCTTGGCTGTCATATTCAGAGGAACTAGAAGGGCTTTTCTGTGAATATTGCGTGGGTTTTGCAAAATTAGGCGGAGTACATAAATCGACTAAATTGGGAAAACTTGTTACAATACCACTAAAGAAACTTTCGAAATTGTATGGCAAAACCGGTGATTGTGAGACGCATGAGAACTCAATATATCATACAGAAGCAGTTTCAATGCTACAAACTTTTCAAAGATTTACGAAAATCCAGAGAAATATAATAGGTTCAGAGCGAATTAAGCAAGTTTCAGAAAATCGGCAAAGATTGACTCCTGTAATAGAATCTATATTTTTTTTAGGACGCCAAAATATACCACTTGGAGGGCATAGAGATAGGGGACGACTTTTTTCAATGACAGCACGAATGACCAGGGTTTCCTTAATAATGACGCTAATTTTAGAGAACTAATACGGTTTAGAGTCAAGAGCGGCGACAATTTATTGAAAAAAAAAACTTAGAGAACTCAAAAGCGCATGCTACGTACATAAGGAGCCGCATCCAAAATGAAATTATAGAATGTTGTGGCGAAGAAATCTTCGATATAGTTTTAAGTCGCGTCAGGCAAAGTCATTATTACAGTATTATATTTGACGAAACTACAGACATTAGCCATAAATCACAAATGTCAATCGTATTGCGGTATTGTTATCAAAAACATATTCACGAGGACTATGGGATTTGTGGATTGCTCCTCAAATTTTAATGAAGATACAATGGAGCCCAAACTCACAGGTCAAATTCTTGCTCAAACAGTCAAGCATTTCATTAAAAAAAAAAACTTTGACTCAAAACTACTATGTGTGGGCATTGGTACTGATACGTGTAACCTAATGTTAGGTGAACAAAAGGGCGCTGTAATGGAATTGCAATTATGTTTGTCGAATGCTCTAAAAAGCCCATGCGCAAATCATGCCTTGAATCTTTCGATTTCAAAAAGCAGCAGTGTCCAAGCAGTAAGAAATACTGTAGGTATAATGAAGCAAGTAATTGCGTTCTTCAAAGCATCCGCTAAAAAGAAATACAGTATTAAAAAGAAAACTAGACAGATATCAAATTCATAGTATGTGCGAAACACGATGGACCGAGAGACATGATTCTGTGCTCCAACTTGAAAGCAAATTCGAGAAAATTCTAGAGGTACTAAATATTATATCAAATTGGAAAGACCGCGAAGCTTTTTCAAAAGCAGAGTCTTTGAAGACTGCCATTGCCTCCACCCAATTTATCGTATCACTAAAGTGTTTGTGTGATATATTAGCTTTAACAGTCAACCGGAGTAAGATTTCACAATCAAAAAAATTGACAAACAATACGCTGACAAACTCATAGGAAATATTCTTTCAGTTGTTCAAGAAAGACGCCACTTTAGAATACTATTCGCATCTATAATGAAATCACATGAAACCCTGGGTATTGAACTGACTGTGCCAAGAATAACAAGCAGGCAAATGAACAGACCGAACACAGTTACGTCTGACAAGGAAAATTATTACAGACTGAACCTGATATGTCCTTTTGCTAGATAATATATTTCAGGATTTGGTATACCGGTTCAATGAAGAATTTTTGAATATATACAATTTTAATATTTTCTTTGCATCAGAATTTAATTCAAAAACTGAAGCTGAAGTAATAGACATATTAGAAACAATCTAAATATTTGCATGGACTAAATAGCAACGAAAACAAAAATTTAATAAGTACCAGATTAAAAGCAGAATTTGACCTTTTTAAGTCACGTACACAAGATATTATAGACAGTGGAATGTCACTGTATTTATCATGTGATGAAAACATTTTCCCTTCAACTAATAGATACCTACAATTATTGATTTCATTGCCTGTAAGTGTTGCGACATCTGAAAGAAGTTTCTCCCATCTAAAGATGATAAAAACTTGGCTGCGCTCCACTATGTTACAAGAGCGATTAGTGGGTTTAGCTCTTTTGTATATGCATAGGGATATTAAAATAGACGTGAATACAATCATAGATCGGTTCGCCAGCAAAAAGGATAGGCGCCTTGATTTTGTAATATGATAACACCTGAACTTTGCCTAAGGTTGTCTCTCAAATACATCTCCCTTCTGTTGGCCAATAAATAAAAAAGCAGATGAAGTTAAGGGTTTACTTACCTTTAAACTACGACGGTGATCTTTTCCAAAGTATCCAATCAAGATATGCGGTTTTATTTATTGGCCAGCAGATTGATATAAAAGTCTGTTCAAATCACTTTCTAAGCTAATGTAATGATTTGTTTTATTTTGAGACTGTGAACTGGTGTAGTTTCATTAGTTTATATGTTTTTCTTTTTTGAGACTGGCTAAGAGAATGTTGTTATGCAATGAGTATTTTTTGTGTTTTTCTCATGATTAAGAATTTTATTTTGATTTACATTCAGGTTTATACTTTATAGAAGTCGTAACATATTTGTTATTGTTATTTTTTTCATGAAGATGTATTTTTTCTTGTGTTGTCTGACATTGTCATGTAGAAAAGTATGTGATAGATTATACTATTTTGCATTTTTGTCTTAATATATGAAGATTGCTGGAGCTTGGTTTGCTTTATTTACACTTTGATTTCGTATGATTCAAAATTTAAAAAAAATGCATGTATTTTCTACAGAAATTAATGTAACAAATTCATATGTCTGCATATGTCCATGCTTTTAATGTTAAATCATTATAACACTTCAGTACGCCACACTAAGAATTTACTTTCCATTTTATCCCTCCCAGACTGAAATCCTGGGAGCACCACTGTTCTACGTAGTGATTTTTTTCCTATTGTAAACAATTTTGGTAAATTTCAATGACCTGATGCGGTCCAAAAATTCCATGAAACACTTAGCATTTCTGATTACTGCTTAAATCCATCTTTTTTCCAGGCCCGATGTCTGGTTCGTGACAACCACACAAGCCCTTACTTGGATGACAGATCCTAAACCCGCGAAGCAACTAAACAACTACGAGCCCTGGGACTGCAAGAAGAATAAGGAAAACCTACCCCCTGCGCCCTGCAAACTACCAAACAAGTGCGCACTCAGCTTCAAAAGGCCAGAATCGAATATTACAGACACTAGGTGGGTATCTAGGGATCAATTTCCACAAAGTTACTCGAGGAATATGGAACAAACTGATAAAATAGAAAGTGAAGCAAAATAGTTATTTACCTAACAAGTAAAACTTTCAACACGCATCTACCTGCAGAAAGTAGCACTGTTATGGTACGGGCCACAGTATACAGGTTGTTCCTTAATGATATGCGAATATTTAAGGGTGTGAATCTACATGAAGGTTTTGCTTCATAAACTATGGTTCAAAAATGTTTCCTTATAAAAAGTCGGAGTGTTGAGGTTTTAGGAAAAAAATGGAAATTATTTAATATTTTCAGAACCGCTTCAGAAATTTCACTGATATTTAGTATGTAATGGAAGTTAATAAAGTTGCATATTTTTCAATGCAAAAATAATTTTTAGCTTTAACAGTGGCGTGCGTAAAAAAATGATACGCCAATGGTTTTTTGTCAAATAAAAAGTATTTTTGAATTTCCCATTCAATTTAAAACAAATGATCTTTCTTGAGTTGCTTTACTTCGATGCGCCATTTTTCAGTAAAAACATAAAAACTGTTCTATTGTCTAACTTGCAAAATTATTATTAATTTAATTGGAAAAATTAAACACATTCAGGGTAATGAACAACAACAACTGACAACATAAACATAACATTAAAACCAACGAAATGATGATTACAAAAATCACTTAGTATGCATGCTTCCGCCCTCCTTCTCATGGAATTGCGTACTCGTTGAAATATCCCTGGAGTGTTTTTTATTTTATCACAAGCTGCAACTATTCTTTCTCTTAATTCCTCTACAGTGTTCATGGGACTTGTGTACACTAGTGCATTAAGATAGGCCCACAAAAAGAAATCTAAACTGTTGAGGTCTGGGGACCTTGGTGGCCATTCTCAGGGCCCACCGCGGCCAATCCAACGATTTGGATAAACAGTTTGTAAATAATTACGAACCGCTACACTGAAATGCGCTGATGCACCATCATGCATGTACCACATATCGTTTCTTATTACTAACGGAACATCATCAAGCAGCAAAGACAACTGTTGTTGAAGAAAATTGAGGTAAGTCTGTCCGTCAAGTCGTCCCGGCAAGAAGAATGGGCCAATAAAGTGGTTGCCAATAATTCCTGCCCATACGTTAACCGAAAATTGGTGTTGGAAATGGGTTTCGGTTACGGCATAGGGATTTTATTCTGCCCACAAATGATTTTTGTGGAAATTCTCAATGGCATTTCGAGAAACAATAGCTTCGTCCGTGAACAGAATCTTGATTCAAATTGAGTGTCTAGCGATCTTCCTCGTACTCGTTTCAGGATATTCTTCAGCTTCGGGCAGCACTGCTTCCTCAATTTCAGGTGTTCTCATATTTATAGGTCTACCTTCAGATGTTCCTTTTTAGACAGAATCAGTTTCAACAAGACGACGATGAATATTAGAAAAGATTCGACTATCTGGCAAAGCACGATCGGGATATCTCTGGTGATAATTCCGTCTGGCTTGCTCACCATTACCGGCGGCAAGGCCATATACGTAATTCATTTCCGCCATTATTAACAAGATTGTAAAAACTAAATAATGAAGAAGATGTCAAAACGAACAGATTTGAATAACAGAGACTTGTCAGATGTCAAAAGCCAGTCACATATTCCAAAGCAACTAGATATTTATTGCTAAATTGCATTCTTCAATTATTAGATTAATTTTCTCGGACAATAGAACGGTTTTTATTTTTTTACTCAAAAATGGCACATCGAAGGGCAGCAACTCAAGAGAGATCATTTGTTTTAAATTGAACGAGGAATTCAAAAATAATTTTTATTTGGCAAAAAACCATTGGCGTACCAGTTTTTTTTCTTAAAAAATATCAATACCCGTACGCATGCCACTGTTAAAGCTAAAAATTATTTTTGCATTGAAAGATATGCAACTTTATTAACTTTCAATACGTACTAAATATCAGTGAAATATCTGGAGCGGTTCTGAAAATATTAATTAATTTCCATTTTTTTCCTAAAACTTCAACTCCCCGAGATTTCCTAAGGAAACATTTTGGACCATAGTTTATAAAGCAAACTAACATTAATTTTTCATGTAGATTCACACCCTTAAATATTCGCATATCACTAAGGAACACCCTGTATATTGATTGTACGACATTCGCTTTACCGTTTCCGAAATCTCAAAGGCAAGGTTAGAATTTGAAACATACTTAACATATACACAGATTGTTAATAAAGTATATGACAAACTTTAACCATCGACTCCTTGGTCAATTTGAAGACGAAATTTCCATATGAACATGGGTCCGCAACGGCTTTGTTTTCAAGCTAGAGCATATTAGCACTAAAAGAAATGATGTTCTAAAAAATTATAAAAGAATGGAACGTATTTTATTTTAATTATTGTGCCTGTGGTGAATATATCACATGATTTACAGTTGTTTTCAGATCTTCCATGTACGTAGATACAGATAATGTTCTCCAGTATTTTTTGAAAACAGCATGACATTGATTTGTTTTGATCGCAATACTTTTAATATTCAAGCATTGTGCTTATCTAGACACCTATGATGTACCCGAAAACAATTGAATTAATTTATTTTCTCAAATCATTCGACAGCTGTCAAATATTTGTTTTCTTGTATGGTCATTCTAAGTTTTGATGTTTATTACTAATTATCATAATGGTCCAGTTCTAATCAAGAAATGACAGATATCATTACGGAATGGCTCTGGGTAACGCTCGACGAGCACGACGTTTGTATGGTGATCGATTTCCACAACGCCCTCTGCCTGATGTACAAACATTCATCAACATTCACGCTCGACTATGTGAAACAGGCAGTTTCAAGAGATCCACACATGTTGCAGGAAAACCCGCAAGTGTAAGAACCATCCAAATCGAAGAATCACCAACTAAATTTAAATCATGTAACGGTACGGCAAATCTTGAGAGATCAGCAACTTTATCCATATCATATACAGCGTGTACAAGCACTTTTGCCTCGAGATTTGCCTATAAGAGTTGATTTTTGCAACTGGTTACGTGAAAAAGTAACATTAAATCAAACATCAATAATAAATTTCCGTAATAACCCTGTACCTATGGTCTGAAGGAAATGGTCATGCCATAATTGAACATAATACGCAACACGACTTTTCAAATTCAAAATACATTTATTTGCCAAAAAAAACATTATTTTTACCGTATTATAGAAAATACACACACTTAATAATATGTTTGGCAAAAAGGACAAATTCTCGATCAAATGACCGTTAACACCCAGCCTGACATAAGTAGGGTGGGTGTGAAAATGCTGTGTTACAGTAATTTACAAATACAGCAGACGCTCGATAACGTAAACAGGCTAATGTAAACACAAACTTCGTTCTATAGAATCAAACGGAACGAGCGATAACGTAAACAATGTGTACGGTCGATAACGTAAACAACTCTAGGCGCACGGAATCAGCGCGACGGTAAAATGCTGAAGCCTCGATGATTTATGTCGGGCGCCGGGGAGTCCCCGATTTATGATGTAGAATGTAGGGGATTCACCTCTGCGATAAAATACGACAAACTCGGTCAGTCGTATGATCGTTTAGGATACGTTTATACGTACGTATGTATTTCATTTTTGAACTTAAGTGAATACATTGCACGCGTTAATATATTTTACGACTATGGCATCCACATCCTATAAAAGAAAGTGTTTAAGGTTAAGTGAGAAAGTGAAAATCATAGACGAAGTTGCACTAGGTGCGGGAGTGACACAGTTAGCAAAAAAATATGGAGTATCGAAAGCAACAATCTGTAAAATTAAGCGTATGAAAACTCAAATTTTACAAAGAACGTGCAATACATTTGGAGGTCCGGGAAAAAGAAAAACTTTAAAAAATGCGAAGGCACCTAAAATGTAAAATTCCCTGTATAAGTGGTTTTTAAAATAACGGGAAAATCATGTCCCAGTTAGTGGCGAAGTACTTAAATAGAGAGCGAGACTGTTAAATGAAAAACTGAAAGAAACTGAAAATTTCGTAGCTAGTGATGGCTGGCTACAACGATTCAAAACAAGATATGGAATTCTACTGCTGTCTATATCTGGTGAAAAATTATCAGCACAACCACAATTAGTGCAACCATTCAAAGAAAAATTGATGAAAACAATTACCGAGCTAGATTTAAGACTGGAACAAGTTTACAACGCAGATGAAAGTAGCCTGTATTGGAAAATGTTACCAGAGAAAACCTATGCTGCATCATTTGAAAAAATCTGCCCCGGAAGAAAGCCGGAGAAACAACGAATAACGTTTCTAGCCTGCACTAATGCTAATGGTTCACACAAAATAAAGCCACTGGTAATTGCGAAAGCAAAAAATCCGCGCTCATTTAAAAATGTTAGTATCGCTGTTGATTATGACTGTTCAAAAACCGCTTGGATGACTAGCAGTATATTCCTGAAATGGTTCCACAGGTGCTGTGTCCCTCAGGTATGACAATCAATTATCACAAATGCTCTATTCATAATTTGAAGATGTGTTTTCAATTTGTAGGTAAAAGGTGTCCTAAAACAACAGGAGCTTCCAATAAAAGCGTTGTTACTATTGGATAATGCACCAAGTCATCCTCCCGAGCAACAACTGAGGAGCAGGGATGGGTCAATTTTCGTCATGTACATGCCGCCCAATGACACCGTTAATTCAACCGATGGACCAGAATATAATGAGACTCAAGAAACTATACTATAGGAAGTTTCTACTTTCGCCTGTCTTATCAAAGAATCCTGAAAACTTATCTGAGGCTTTAAAAAAAGTAACATTACGAGAAGCTGTTTTAGATTTACATATGGCCTGGAATGAACTTAACCAGCAAACTATTCAGAAATGTTGGAACAATCTCTTTTGTACCAATAATGAAGATGATGAAGAAGACGATGTCCCCTTAAGCGTAATTAGAGAACGTTTGCGATCCAATAATGATAACGTTATTAGTGTGTCATTGGATGTTGTTGATTTATTAAAAACAGTGAATCCCAACATTATTTGTACTCCTGCTGATATTAATTTATGGAACTAAGACAAGCAGACGAATGATGCTGATAAGGAGGAGGATATGGACAGTGAGGATGATGAGAACGATCCCAATGAAGTCAGAAGTGTAGTGACTGACGCGCAAGCTATACAAGTTTTTAACCAAGCTTTAGATTGGGCTGAAAGAAAAGAAGTTTCATACACGGATATTTTAGTTCGTAAATTACGGGGAAAACAATGCTAAGCGCAAATTTACGCAGACAAAAATTGTTAATTATTTTTCTTCTAATTAAAAAAATACTTATCGCTGTTAGAATATTTGTTTATTTTGTTATAAATAGTATGTATTAAACGTTTCTTTTAATAAATCAAATATTATATAAATCACGTTCGCTAATGTAAACATTTCGATAATGTGAACCACACTTGGATTAAATTAGTTTACATTATCGAGCGTCTGCTGTATATTATAATATATAAACAAGATTCAGGAATTTAATGATTTCATTTATTACGAGCATGAACCATTGATATTGCAGAAGAAAAAAAATGTATATTTACGCACTTAAAGTCAACGTTCCGACGGGTGGGGAGCACCGGAGATGGGGCGAAGAGCGGCAGAAAGCAACAGACGCCAAGCCACACCGACGAACCCTCATACAGTTAACCACACCAAAATACATCTACACACACATACCACATCTATCATCACATGCTCGCTTCTCCATCTTAATAAAAAGATAAATTTGAAAAAATAAACTTGACAACAAGTATCCGTGCACAATCACACTCATTATTGTGTTATTGATCCTGAAGAAGCATGGCCATTATACAGGGTGACAGGTAAATAGGTGTAAAACATTTTAGGAGGTGATAATACAGCTCCTTTGCTATCAAAATTAGTATATAATACCATACCCTATATTCAAAGGTTAAAAAGTTATGGAAGATTTAGTTTTTTCAAAAAGCAACCCAGATTACAGAGTAAAATAGTTGAGATAAAAAAAGTTGGTGATTAAACATTCTTTTTTTGGTGGTTTCAGGTTATTATTTAAATAAATAATTCTCATAAATTAAAAAACATGAAAACACTACTGAAAACGTATTTATTTTCATTTAAATGTTAGTTAGTAGAATATCAACCTTTAACGCGGTAGGACGTACTTTTACTTTTTTGATCAGTTTTAATAATGGCGAGTTACCGTAACGAAGAATACGCTGATATTCTGTTTTATAATGGTTTAAGTGATGGAAATTCCTTTGAAGCCAGGCGAGAATACGAAAACCGTTTTCCGAATCGGCGAATACCGAGTCATCGAGTATTGGCTTCTGTGTACCAACGCGTCAAGGAAAGTGGACAGGTTCATGAGAGACGTCATGATGCTGGTAGACCTCGGTTGTTTGACGACGAAGATCGAGAGGCAGTACTGGAATGCTACGGCAGAGACCCGACGACGTCTACACGAGTTATAGCAAAGCAGCTTGGTTTAACTCAGTGGAAAGTTTGGTTCGTTTTGCATTCGGCGAGACTTTATCCTTTCCATTACACACCGGTTCAAGTATTAGAAGAAGGAGATCCCGCAAGAAGAATTGATTTTTGTCATCGGGATCAAGAAGAAAACGACTAGTTAACTAAAATATTGTGGACCGACGAGTCTAAGTTTGACAGAGAGAGGACAACAAATTATCACAACTTACATTATTGGGCCCCACGAGAGGCAAATCCCCACATGGCAAAGCCAAGAGCCCATCAAAGAAGATTTTCGGCAAACGTGTGGATGGGAATCATTCATACGTATCTAATTGGACCAGTTTTTTTGCCTGACAACCTGAATGGCGAATCCTATGAAAACATTTTGAGATCCGAACTCTGGGAGTATCTCGAAGACCTGCCTCTGAATATCAGGATGCAGATGATCTAGCAACACGATGGCTGTCCCGCGCATTTCCGTCTGGGTGTTAGACAGTGGCTGGACGAGAAATATCCTTGTCGCTGGATTGGCCGAGGTGGACCGACACCGTGGCCAGCGAGGAGCCCAGATTTAACACCGTGTGACTATTATTTATGGGGGCACATGAAGTCACTGGTGTACGCTGAGCCCATAGACACTCTTGCACAGTTGAAAGAAAGAATTATTGCTGCTGCTGACACTATCAGAGGACAACTAACTGGCCGCATCACGCGTACCAACATGAGAAATAGACTACGGGCTTGCATAAGAAACGGGGGGCGTCAGTTCGAACAACAATTGCAATGAATTTTACCTTCATTTCATTATTGTATTTTACTTACCAATTGTAGTAACTTTTAGTCAGTTTTTATTAATCTGTAGTACAATTACAACTGTGTAAATAATCTAGTCGTGTAACTTAACCGTAGTTTAAAATAATAACTATCCCATAGCTTACAGTTACATTATTTTCACAAAAACACTTTCTTATCAATCAGAGAGTTGTGAAAATGGGAGACATTGGTAAATTTACTCCCTATTGTTGTATTAAAATACATTATGTTTAGATTCACACAGTTTTTGTGCACTTATACCAATTTAGATTCCTTATGAAACAAGGATATTATTTAAATTGTTTGTACGTTTTTTTGTATACTGATTTTTTTGTAAAACACCTTACTGTAAAACGTTATTTGTTTTTCTTAGTTAAACATTTTTGAATGAAAATAAATACGTTGTTTGGTATTGTTTTCGAATCTTTTTTAATTTATAATAGTTAATCATTGAAATAATAATAATAATAATTAACGTCTTTTATTTGTAATATTCGTACAGGAGGCGAGATTTAGATTATATATCTATTCTACCATCTAACCCAAAACCACAAAAAACAAATGTTTAATCGCCAACTTTTTTCTCTCTCGACTTTTTTACTCTGAAATATGCATTGTTTTTAAAAAAATCCTAAATCTTCAATAACTTTTCAACCTTTGAATATAGGGTATTGTATTATATACTAATTTCGATAGCAAAGGGGCTGTACTAAAATGTTTTACACCTATTTACCTGTCACCCTGTATACTTTGAGAACACCCTTTGTGATATTACCTTTACATCATTATTTAAACTGTTTCACATTTGAACTGCAAGAAATGAAATAGAACGTTGAAATGCTGCAGACCTATGTCGAGGAGTAATAAAAAAAATTCTGGTTATGTCTTGTCCCGTAATAATGATTAAAAGTTAAAACTTCATTTTTCAAATACGGAGGTTTTCCCGATTTTATTATTCTATAGATGAAATTAAATAAATGATGTTTCCTACGATTTAGCATATTCAGTATAGACATATTGTTTAGGTAAGGTGTTATGTGGCAGGCGTTCTGCAATTTTTGTATCGCATTTTTAGTAGGATACCTCAACGAGCTCCCATAAACTATATCTCCATAGTCAAAAAGCGACAGTATGAGATTCTGACAAAGGAATTACTTTTGCTTAGGTAGTAAACCTTTTTTTAGTTTGGAAATATTTCTTAATCGTATGTAAGCTGCCGTCATTTTTTTCTTTATATGTGGATCAAATGATAATGCATTATCGAAGATTACGCGTAGATCCTTTGCTTCGTGAACAATGGGGACTATCTCATTGTTTTCCTTCAATATTTGGATTAAGAATCGTTAGTGACCACGTGATTGACCCTCATTTCCTTCCCCCCAGACTCCCGAAGAGCACCGAAGATTTTTGGAATTTGTCCTACCTGGATTAATGGAGGAAATTCCTCTTAGAGAACGACGTCGCATGTGGTACATGCATGGCGGTGATCCGCCACAGTTCAGTGTCATTGCGCGAGATAATAATTATCCAAATGTATGGATTGGAAGAGGCGGACCACAGCCATGGCCGCCTAGATCGCGTGACATGAATCCTATCGATTTCTTTTTACATCATTAGTATACAAGACTGCTGTTCAAAGCGTGGAGGACTTAAGAGTCAAAATTGTCGAGTCAAGTCTGACTATACAAAATATTCCGGGTATTTTCAGGAGAGTTCGTCAGTCAGTTTGTAACAGACTAGACGGCCTGTATTGAAGTCGAAGGTGGCCACTTCGAACCTTTATTTCAAAAACACCATTCGATATTTTCTATTGTTGTCGTTCTATACGAATGTTACTGTTCAAGACCATTGATCTTCTAAATAGTTTTTTTTACAAAAATACAGGATAATACTATTTTCATCTACGTTCATATTGAGCCTCAGCAACTTGTAAAACATGCAAAATTTATCATCAGGTTATACCAACTGTTCAATAAATACTTTCATTATTCAAAGAAATATTTGGAACATTATTCGTATTTCTTTAGTGATAGTGCTCTATCTAGCTCGAAAAGAAAGCCGTTGCGGACCCATTTTGACCAAATTGACCATTCGATGGTTCAAGTTTGCCTGCATACTTTATTAACACCCTGTATAGTGCCTTTAGCAAAATTAAGTTTATATCTAACAGAGATTTCAACTATACATGAATAAATTAATTTTTGTAAAAATTGTTCTATCCATTTAATTTCTGCCAAGTCCTCCTGGGTATGCCTTTGGCAGATTTAATGATATTATTTCTTTTCAGGTACCTGGAGACCTGCAATGATTGCCCCAGGCAGTACCCATGGCTGGATGACGCCAGTGGGTCTGGAATACCAGGAAAGGACAACTACGTCCCAGATAACGTTAGGAAATAGTTGCATAAATGTAATTTTGTAATGATGCGGTCACTGCAAACAAAAAAACTACCAGTTTCATTATACACTTTCGAAATTTACAGTAGCACTTAGATTTATGGCATGATTTTCCTAAAACATATGCTTGTTATTTGTTTTTTTTTTCGTAAAGTATTCCATCAAAGGGACAACTAAAAAAAGCAACACCAAACTTCAACAGTGTTACAAAATTATATAATCTTCAAAAATTAGACATGTTTGCAGTCGTTCTTTGTAGAATAAAAAAAAATCAGTAAGTCAAAGTGGCTACATTATATCATTCCAAAGATATCAGAAAATACAACTCAGATAAATGCAGTGGTTGCTGTCATGGTAAATATATAAAAATGACATCTCTTTTGAGGATGGCTAACAAAACGTTATTTAGAATCTGGAAGTTCTCATTTTAAATCAACTAGTCAACTTGATACTTGATTATTATACTTGAAATAATAAGTGAAAAAATATGCAAATTCATGAAAATCATAAACAAATTATAATTGAAGAAAGTAACTAAAAGATATTAGGAGTGATCTTGAACAAGGCAATGTAAAGCACTTGTTCTAAATCTATAATATCTATTTTCAGATTTGTACAAGATGTTCACATATTTGAATTTAACAGTATTAAACTTTGATAATATTTGGCAATTATAATCAAGTGTTTAGAATTGTTAAGAGTACTTTCACCTGTTAAGCTTCCTAGGATAGTAGATATGTACCAAGAGATGCAGAGTTGTGTGCTTGAATAAATTATTTTGTTAATAATACACTATGGTTTTATTTCTGTAACAATTTAGTGTAAATATCATATGCAAAAATAGGAAATGTTTATTGATTTACAGTTGCACAATTAGTAATGTAAACAGCTTTAAAACTGCGCCTTAGAATATTAAAGATTCAACATCACAATGGTTAGTTATCACATGTATCATAAAAGTCTCAATATAACGTGTTATTCTCTCTGAAACTAAAATGTTAAAACAATAAATGTATGTTCAACAATATAACAATCTACTCTACAAAATACTGATATGACTTAAAAATACTGAGATAATAGATCAAGACTAGCTAAAATACTAAAATATAAATACACAACTAAAAATTTTTGAGAACTTTTTGTCCAGGTACCTAACATAAATATTTGGTTTGAAAAAAGTAACACAATAAGAGCAGAAAATACAGAGATAAAAAGTGCTTTTGTGCCACAAAAAAACTGGAGAGTTAGTTTAACAGCACTGTTGACACATTTCTTACCAACTGACCAGTTCTCCAAAAAATATAGATAATATAATCTCTCATAATTCTACTTTGAATGGTACATGTAGCCTTGGTCCTTTTTTTATAGTGGGTTTTCGAGTCTTTCTTGGTGGTTTAGTAGTTGAAGTAACTTCTGATTTTTTATCTTTGCTATATGGATTGACATACTGAGGGTGTCTTTCAACATAATTCAATTCTTGAGCCGCATAATTTGTCGCATAGAAGGCAGTACTATCTAACAAATGTTTCATATGATTGCAATAAGCAAGACCCCACTGATAAGTAGCACTCCATTCATCATTGGAGCTAAGGAAAGATTTTGCAATTTCGGTAAACCGTAACACTATTTCTGAAAACATAGCAGTATTTTTAAGGACTTCATACAATGCTTCCTGCATATCACGATCTAAAGGAAATGTTGTCTCGCCTTGTACAATTGGCCTAGTATCCAACTTCGCACGACCTTTACTGATCATTTCAAATATTTTTCCACACGCCTTCTTCAACATTGATTTCTGTTCACGTTTGCCAGTCACCTTTTGGAAGGTTTTGATTGCTTCCATCCGTTTAGCACGTTGTTGTTTGAAGAGGAAAATAACTAAAAGCCCATGTAAAATCAGAAATCTGAAAAATATAACTCAAGACATATACTCACATAGCTCTTCTGCATTTTTTGACTCTGCACTGCTTGAATCTTCTTGAAATGAGAGGCAAAACAGTATTGTCAGTACAAACACCTTACACAGTATCATATTATTTTTGTATGACTAGCTTAAACGAAAATTGCACTTATGACTTAATTTTTTTCTTTTGGAAGACTTGCGGATATAAAACCGTTTTGAATTTGAATTACATCTGTCCTGTATATATAGGTTCCATGTCACAAAGACTACAGATAGAAGATTAAACTTATAGAGTGGGGGTAAAGTCAAAAATCTTGACGACGAAGTATGTTGTACACTGCGCAGAAAATGAATTTCAGCTTCTACGCAGTTGCATCCTGTTGCTGTCAATTTTGACAATTCGGGTTGCAAGAATAAATATTGGATAATAATAAATCTCGAAGTAGTAAACCCATAAACCGACAAAGCATAACACATTGTGAGTGAAATGCGTGTATTATATAGATTCTAGATTGGGCGACATATAGAATACATTGCGCGGACTATGAAGACTAGAGTTAGGAGGTTAACCTGATGGAGTGGGGATGAAGTTAAAAATGGCGACGATGAAATGAGACGGTACACTGGACAGCAAATGAATTTCAGGTGCTGCGCATAGAGCATCTCTCGCGTTTATGCTGCGTGGAAAATGAGTTTGAGCTTCTGCGCATGCGGCATCTCCTACTGTTGATGTCATTATGACTGTAAACACCTCCGTTTTTGCCAGTTCGGGTGAGTTGAAAGCAGAAATATTTAAAATATTGATAAACCACGAAGTAATGAAACTGCAAAGTATGGCAAGACTTGGAAGAAACTTGTAGAGAATCAATCACGGAGCACCAGCACATGAAAAAGTTTTTTTGTACAGGAAGGAAATTACAGATACAAAACATGAGCTTAGAAGGGATTACTGAGGAAGGAAAAACTCGAAATTTGATTGTTATATAGTTAGGAAATAACCATGATGTGTCGTTGAAAAACAAAAATGGAGTGTAATATAATTAGGGCTAACCAGTCGTCTATGTCGTTGAAATAAATAACTTTTCCCACCGCTGTTCTTCAACACACTACACATTTGCAGTATGATCGTTGTATCGTTGAAAGGAATTTCCAAAATTATATTTGATTAAGCAAATGAAAACTGGAGTTGTATGCAATCATGATGACAGCAACAGAGATGCCACACGCGCAGAACCTGAATTTATTTTCTGCGCAGTGTACCAACTTCCTTCGGCGTCAACATTTTTGACTTCACCCCCACTCTACGAGTCTAACTTTTCCTATCTGTAGTCTTCATGCGTCGCCGCTGCCAACAGTGGCAGCTGGTCCTAGTGACAGGTGACAATCAGTCTTATATGTTTTGTTGTCACTTGTCAAGCTTTTCTTACGTCAAAACAAGAAATGTAAACCGACATGGCGGGTTTTCGGGATTCGGACAAAGCCCTTTTTCCAATAAAAAATATAAACGGTATACTTCAGTTGTTCAGACACCAGCTGGAAAATGCCCGGGAGCCAGATTTGGCTCTTCTGTCCATCGTCGCCGGAATTGTTGAGAGCAAACTCACTAGCCGGTCCGCTGCAGCCCTACAGTTGTGTGAGCCCATTGAACCCAATAGCTTGCCGGTACAATATATTCTCATCTTCTAAAGCATTTTTTACACTAGTACTACCTAGTTAGTATATTCCTTCACGATGTTTCACTTCATTCAAAATCTTACTTTACCTAAACATACAGCCTTGTAACAGGTGCGTGTTATTGGCAACAGAGTATGTTCAAGGGTGCCAATAGTGAGGGATAAGATAAGACTGTTGCCCTTTTAGCGTATTTATAAATAGCAAAAAGTAACCTATCCTGTGTGAAAACATTGGTTTGTAAAATCACCCTCCTACCCTAGAATACACTCAACTATTCTTTCCTAAAGCTTGATACATAATCTGCAGAAAGTCATTGAATTTTTTTAGCTTTCTGTTTTGTGTAACTTATTCACATTATCATTTCCACCTTACTTACTTACTTACTAAGTTTGTAGCAGAATGTGAAGCTTTTCATCTATAATAAGTGTTAACCTAATTTTTCTTATGACAGGTTCTTGAAATACATGATGTGCAAGTCCTATATGAAAAATTCCACAGCATTATGAAAAGCAACATTGATCCAAATAAATCAAATTCCCCAGCTACAAGAGATCTTGTAAAGAGAGTGTCTGATGTTATATGGAACTCACTTACCCGAAGTTATTACAAAGACAAGGCACACCTGCAAAGCCTTTATAGTTACTTGACAGGCAGTAAGTTAGATTGCTTTGGGGTAGCCTTTGCGGTAGTAGCAGGCTGTCAAGCTCTTGGGTATAATGATGTGCACTTAGCATTATCGGAAGACCATGCTTGGGTCGTATTTGGTGAACATGGCACTGAAACAGCAGAGGTGACTTGGCATGGCAAAGGAAATGAAGATAAGAGAGGTCAAGAGATTGGTAAAGGAGTTTCATCTAGATCATGGTTGTATGTTAATAACAAACCTGTGGTGTGTACAAGAAAAATGGAGGTTGCAGCATTAGTATCCGCTATAAATCCTTCTTTGAATGCTACACATGATGCTTATGAAGTATCATTGCTGCAACAAGAACTATTATGGTTGCTTTACGATCTGGGTCATCTGAAAAAGTATCCAATGGCTATTGGTAATCTAGGAGATTTGGAAGAAATAAGTCCGAAAGAAGGAAAAGTGCCATGTAAAGTCTTGTTTGAAGAAGCTATATATTCTGCAAGGAACTATTATAATAACCAGCATGTGTATCCATATACCTACCAAGGAGGATACTTCTATCGTAATAAGATGTACAAAGAAGCTTTTGAAAGTTGGGCAAATGCAAGTGATGTAATCAGGCTGTGAGTATTTTATTCATTTTTCCCAAATTTAAATCAAATCAATTTTTTTTTCCACTCATTTGCTGGCAGATCCAAATGGCATTTTTGAATGCATCAACTGCTTCTTCTGGTGACTGGAACCTTTGACCACTCAGTCTGTTTTTAATTTTCGGGAAAGTAAACAAATCGTTAGGACTTAGATCGGGACTATATGGAGGATGGTCCAATAATTCTACATTTTCTTCCGTTAAATACTGCCTTGTTTTTTGGGCTGTGTGTGAGCTTCCATTGTCTTGGTGGAGGATGATTCTTCTTTTGGGGTTGATTTTTCGAAGCTCGGTAATGACTTTTGGCAAACAAATGTTGGTATATCAATCCGCAGTAACAGTTCTTTGCTCATTAAGAGGAATTGTTGCAATATGACCTGCTTTTGACACAAATGTCGCGACCATCTTTGTCGAAACACTTCGAGAATGGATTACTTTTGTTGGCTTTTTTCACTTTGAATCACCCAAACAGCCGGCTGTCGTTTATTTTCTGGTTCATAATAGTAAATCCACGATTGATCACCACTAATAATGCTGTACAAACTTTTTGAGTTTTCGGAATTGCAAGGGTCAAGCGTTTTTTGACAACAATTAACCCTGGCTACTTTCTGCTCTTCAGTCAACAGGTGGGGGGGTATCCAACGAGAAACTAATTTTCTTACTCCTAATTCTTCATATGAAATATTTTGAATTGAGGTCTTTGAGATCTTCAAGGACGCCTCAATCTCGCGATATGTCACATGTCTATCTTCAATGATGAGTTTGAGCACAGCATCGACGTTTACCTGGATGACTGCCGTTTTTGGTGCACCTACCCTGGAATCGTCGCTATGACTCACCCGTCCACGTTTAAATTCTCTATACCAACGGGAAATTGTCGACTGATGTGGCGCTTCGTTGCCGAAAACAGACATTAACTCAGCAAGGCATTCTTGTTGCGATAATTGTCTTTGAAAGTTGTAATAAATTATGGCGCGAAAATGTTGTCGGTTGAGTTCCATTTTTCTAATGACTTGGTAACACTTAAAAATTGACTGTAGTGAAAACACTGCATGTATTGTTGTGAAACTTTGAATTTAATTTTACTAAAGAGTGAGGTTAAAACTTAAAAGACATCCCTCGTATCTTGTCTGCTGATTCGATAACCTATAACTTGAGAAGTACTACTCCGATTTTGAAGTAATTTTTACACAATATTACTGGTATGCCAAGCTTTTTTTGTTGAAAAAAATTATATAGAATAAAAATTTGTGGTTGGGGTTCTAGAGAGGTGGAGAAGCTATATCTCAGGTTTTTGATGACCTTGATAATTCTATGCACCTACTAACATATTTCACACATTATAGATTTGCTCGTACATTAGCACTTGAAAATAAAAATAGATGTTTCTTTTAGTTTTTGTTTTTATAATTAGAAAATACACCACAAGAACAATTTTATTTTAAGGTACAATTATTCTCGAGACGATGAGGAAATCTACAAAGAATTTCTTGAAATTGCAAATGAATTAATACCACACATTATGAAGGTAGAAAGCTCAGGGTTTAGTGCAAGTTCAATATTGAAGAAGCCAGAATGCTTTGCCAATCTACTGAGGTTCTATGATGGAATATGCCAATGGGAGGAAGGCAGTGCCACTCCTGTATTGCACATAGGTAAGAAGAAAAACAGATACTCATACCTTTCAACTTTGAGGAAACGCTAAGTATGAATGAATGCTCCTATAGGTACTTTGGTATTTGGCACCATTTTTCAAATGAACCGAGTTAGATATTTTAAATCGTGTATGTCCCATCTAGATAATCAAGAATTTAATTATTATAGAGAAACATGTCAGAATTATGCAAATGTAATAATGAAAATTTGTATGGCATAACGGGAACGTTCACGGCGAGGGTTATTACAAATATGGACTTTCTGTGGCCCCAATTGGAACTGATTAACAATGTGATGATGCAATCTAGCCATGATACTATTACTGGAGAAGTTGAACCCTGGTGCTTGCGACCTCTTTCGCGCGCCTGACGTCACTCGGTGACAAAATTCCTCAGAGACGGTTTTTTTTATACTCCAACTACCACGAAGGCCTAAGGCCTAAACACCCATTGGGTGCCGTGGGGTATAGGGGGATACAGGGAAAGGGGGAAAGCCACAGGGACTCTGGCGAGGGAACACGTGTGCATGCAACATGCACACATTCTGGCTCCGCCTACGCGATCCGCCGGGTGGTACCTCCACGTTCGACAGTCAGAGACCGTCTACCACCTACGGACAATCACAACATCCATAGCCAAGAGAAAAATGTCTCCTGGGACGGGACTCGAACCCGCACAGCGCACGGCGACTGATCAGGAGACCGAAGAGTCTACTACTGCGGCCACCGCTGCTGCCTAAACGGTGGTAAACGTTCAGTTTTGTATGACGCTTTAGCACGTAATTTGTGGTTAGTTTCATTAGTTTATTATCTGGTGTGTTTCAAATAAGTCTCTATGTGAACTGTAATTATAAAACAGTGAATCAAACATTTACTGTGTAGTAGTCCAGTTCAAACAACAAAAAATGCAAAGACGTTTCAAATTGGCGTTTCTTTGGATTATCAAAGAATGAACAAGTTTCTGAATAGGTTTTAAAGTGTTATCAGCAACAGAAATTCAATAATTCCTAATTAAATGTAATGAACTCAGTCATATTTTCGGCAGTTTCAATGGAAGGTTATTAAAATTGACCAAAAACTATTTAAAATCGTAAATGGATTTAGTCGTGGTAGTTAGTGAAGTGCAGATGCCAAGTATCTTTTTTTTAGATGCAAAATGTATTTTAAAAGCTGGTTGTCAAATAGAGATATAAAAGAAAAATCTGGAATTGGGAAAAGGAAAATGATGAAATTTGTAAAATAAACTCAATAAAACTGTTTAAAAATAGGTAATACTTTTATTAACATCTACCTATGAATAAGATTAAAAACCATTTACACAACATCTATACAAAATTATAAAGATGTCCTATGTACTGTAGCTTCTACTCTTTTTCTGTATAAAAAGTCAACATAAGAAATAATTTAAATAATAATAATAATAATAATAACGTCTTTATTGGATAACCCGGAGGGACATAAACAGCGAAGTTTAGCCAAGGCTACTCTTACACTTAACTGTTTATGTCGGTTACACCTGATGTTCAAAACATGGAAAAAAAAATATAAGAATAATGAAAAAAAGAACACATATATACTTAAGTATAAAATACAAATAGACACAATCTATATCTGTAGCAGAAATGCGTATTTAATCAATAGCGAGCAACATGCTTTTAGTATGTTTACAAAAACTTTCCAAAGACATCAAATTAATACTGTTGTCCAACTGATTATAAAATAGTGCTGCATTATATGTAAATCCTCGTTGGAATAATGCAGAAGTGTGTGGGGTGGTTCTGATACTATAACGATTCCTAACAGCCCTGTCATGCACTTCGTAATTAAATCTTAACTTAGCTCTTAGATATTCAGGCTTTGATGACAATATTATTTTATGAACTAAAACTAAGAATTTATGTTTAACCAACCTTCCTAACCTAAGCCAGTTCAATTCCCTATATTTATCACTTACGTGATCGTATTTACGCAACCCATAAATAAAGTAACTGATACACAAAGGTATTTTTTGAAACCAATTTGCTTCAATAAAAAAGTCCATTTGGAGCTCTAAGAAATTTAGGTATGAAAAGCTACAAGCTTATTTTCAATGATTAGGTCTTAAGTTATTTAGAACCTTTCACTTGTCTATTGTTAAAATTTACAAAAATGGTGTCTTCATAACGGCGATGTATGCTGTCTATGATATACTTCATTAAATTGTATTGACAAAACATCAAATTATAAATAAAGCATTCTGTATAAAACTAAAATTATCATGTAATATAGGACAAAAAACTGTTCGGCAAATATTTGAAAGAAATACAATGCATTTCATACCGAGGAGCGAAGGATTTGTCACCGAGTGACGTCATGCGCAGTGGGGCACGAAATTCAATCGCCATGTGACCACATCTTCTCGAGTTATAGTATCATACAATCTAACGACGTCTGATAGTTAATGTGGCGATACTTTAAAGATAAACACATTTTAGAAAGAGATAAAAGCCGGCTGAAGAACGAAGGTCATCACATTGCCTAGCAACGGGGACTGAGAAGGTCGTACATTCTGCCACGTTGCCAATATGTTTCACCAGAAAATGTTCGCACAGGCTTCCATAATAGGTTAGGTTACTGTCAAACCCAAGGAGGTGTGTTCGAACATTTAATTCAATATTTTTTTTTCAGAGTTTTAATTTATTATAGAATTATCTTTGATTTCCACTGATGGTGATCAAATCAACACCATTACGCAATACAAATTATCACTGCTACGTGAAAATCGTTCATCTGCGATCATGGAGGTGGAACCTTGCCTTGGAATGTACGAGATGCGGTGTTGCCAAGCCTAAAATGGAGCACCGGTAATTCGACAGAGTTCAGAATTCAAAAATGTGTACGCTCAAAATAAAACCATTATTTCGGCGTAGAGAATAAACCAATGCATATTCTCAACATGCATCTTCAAGGATCTGGTGTAACATATTGGCAACGCAGATTGCCGCATCAGCGATCATGAGCTACGCTAACCAGCCGACTTCTCTCTTCCCAACTTTTGAGTCTATACACACTTCTCTGTCATACACATTGACCTCAAGCCATCAGACACTTCTGGTTCTCAGTGTATAGGAACCCTTGATAACCATATTTATGTATTATTTTCTTGTTGATAATAATTCAGTTGTCAATGTAATGTCATTTTTTTCATAAAAAACTCGAATACACACATTTTCAAGTTTCACTCACAAAAATTACAATACACTCAGTCACAACTCATCTCACCACCTCGGAGAATTGCCGACAGACAAAATATCTTAAGGCTTCTCTACAACCTACAAATTTATTCAACAATCCACAAACGATTAATGACGCAAAACACTTTTCAAGTCATTGGTGAAATTGAGCCACATTTGCGCCAAAAGGGTCAAAAAAAAATTTGTTGATGTCATCTGACAATATAAGCAAACATTTTTTTGTAAATTGCTAGTTTCATTTGACAATATAATCTAGAAGTACCTATCGAGCCACACTTTATGAGTGAAGTACAGAAGACAATTCCTTTAAATTTGACTTACTGCTGTATTATTGTAGGTTGGGCAAAACCTCTGGTGAACACAATTTCAAAGTTTGACTCAGATGTTAGAGCTCAGGTGAATATTATATGTGATAAGTTGGAGGAAGATAAGATGTCTAAGAAGAATGGAACTTACTTCAACAACAATAACTATGCTAGTTTGAACCAGACGAATCTGAAAGAAAAGGATCTGACAAATTTTCATCCGAGTATTGAAGCTCTCACTGCGGCTTGTTCTGAGAAGATCCTGAACCCAGAATATTTGCTGCAAGGAGACGGCTCTCCTTTTGTGGGTATGCATACAGATGCTTCATTATCTCTACTAACATAAGTGGTTTTCTTAGATCGGTTAATTATTTATTTAATTTACTGAATTTGACTTTAATGTGCAAATGAAAATATACATCATTTATTTGAATATGCATAATGTTTTATAGGTGGTGAAAGTTCATCTGAAAGTCAAGCTGAAACTGAGAAAACTCAACAGCCTGAGACAGACAATGGTAAAACTTGTTGTTGATGCAGTCTTTTTTAATTTTTTGAATTTGCTAATCGTTTGGTCTGTTTCTGTGCTTTATTTACATGCATTTTTGGATGTGCATTTGTTTTTCTTTTTTTGTGCTGATTGGACGGTAATAAGAGCCATCTCCGTGAATGTTGAAGGCAGTATTAGTAGTCCATATTTTTTAAAAAGATCTATGCAGCTATTTTCTTTTGGTAGATGAACACACTTGGCATCTGGTAAGCTACCCCAAAAGCATAAGTCTAGATTCTACCTGAGCGTGGTGTATCGCTACCAGTTAACACTGTGTCAGTTCAGTCCTTAAATTTCTCATTGCAAAAGCCTGCGAAACACATAATCACAGTGTGCTTCAAAATTGCAACCTACTTCTGGATAAATCCCCAAAAACTTTACATTATCCTCTATAGGCAGTGGTGCATCCATGACTTGGCATAAGATTATTTTGCGGATTGTGAAACCGTAATATTATCGTTTTATCTGAATTTAGTTTATGTGAGCCATGTGTTACGTTTTCTTTTACGCTTATTGTACGAGGGTGGTCCCAGAAGTACCCGGCCTGACCTAGAGATGGCGATAGTTGTATTAGAAAGTATGCAACCTATAAAGCATATTTAGTATTTGTTTGGCAGCCATCAATACTGAACGTTTTCAGTGAATTTGTGAAAATGGAGAAAATTGGTCATCGTTATGTGGTATAATACTTATATTTCAAAGGCCTCAGCCCAACCAATATAAAAGCTGAACTGGATTCTACTCTGGGTGAGTCTGCTCATTCGTTTACAACAGTAAAATATTGCGTAGCAGAGTTTAAACGAGGTCGTATGAGCTGCCAAGACGAGCATCGCAGTGGTCGACCAAATGAGGTGACGACTCCAGAAATGGTGAAGAAAATTCACAAAGCGGTACTGAATGATCGTCGACTGAAAGTGCGCGAGCTAGCAGACATGGTAGGCAGTTCAAAAAGTGCGGTTCATCGCATATTATCTGAAAATTTGGACATGAGAAAGCTGTGTGCAAGATGGGTGCCGCGATTGCTCTCAATCGAGCAAAAACAGTGTCGTGAGGATGTTTCACTTGAGTGTTTAGCTAAGTTTCACAGCAACAAAGCAGAATTTTTGCATCGTTTCATAACCATGGATGAAACATGGGTCTATCACTTCACACCCGAGACAAAAGAACAATCAAAGCAATGGACTCAAAAGGGACAACCGGCTCCAAAGAAGGCGAAGACCGTTTCATCTGCAGGCAAGGTTATGGCGTCGGTTTTTTGGGATGCGCGTGGGATAGTTTTCATTGACTATCTTGACAAAGGTAAAACTATCAACAGCGAGTATTATGCGAACTTATTGCAACGTTTGAGCGATGAAATCAAGCAAAAACGGCCGCATTTGGTTAAGAAGAGAGTGTTGTTTCATCAAGACAATGCACCAGCTCACAAATCCGTTATTGCAATGGCCAAAATTAACGAATTAAAGTTTGAATTGCTACCTCATGCACCCTGTTCACCAGATTTAGCCTCCTCGGATTATTTTCTGTTTCCAAACTTGAAAAAATGGCTCAGTGGTCAAAGATTTTTCAACGATGAAGAAGTGATGTCGGCAGTTAATGGCTATTTTGAGGAGCAATACAGTTCTTATTATAAAAAGGGTATCGAACTTATTGAACATCGCTGGGAAAAGGAGATTATGCTGAAAAATAAATACGTTTTTTACAAATTTTTGTGTTTTCTTCATTGGGTCATGTACTTCTGGGACCACCCTTGTACATTTACATCTTTGTTTGCTTCACAGCATATTGTACTTAGTAAAATAAACGTTATTATAATTATATACACTCAACTTCACGGCACTTTCCTTTCTGGCAGGCGGTGACTACCTCATCCCGAACAACACGCCTCCCACCCCACCAGACGACAGCGAACTCGCATTTTCCGGTAGCCAACCAGGGACCTCCCACCGTCTAGACTCCACCCACCCCTCGACGGATCATCCCGAAGAAGAAGACCCAGTGGCCAGATTCCACTCGCGACCCACCGTAGTACTGCGCAGCCAAAAGATGAAGCAGCTCAAGGATCTGCTGCTGGCCGAGAAACTGAATACGCACGCCATCTCGTTGCATCTCACCGCGCAGTCGCAGGTGCAAGTTGGGAAAAAAGGCAGGGGTACGGAGGGGGATGGAGGCGGGGCGGAGGGTGGAGCTAGGGCGAAGCGAGCAAGGAGAGAATAGGTGAGTTTATTTATTTGTGAAAATTGATCTGCTCAACAGAGCAGGGAGGAAACAATAGGCGAAACAAGAAGATACGAAATAATAAATTCGTCTTTATTAAGCAGAGGTGGACGTCAAGCCAGAAACGGGGGATAGGCCAAGTCGTGATAGTTATCAGATGAATATTAAAAAATCTAGCTCGTGTACTCTTCAAATTATAGGCTTTAAAAAAATCGGAAAAGTGTACACCCTATAATCTTTCAGTTCCCATTACTAAATTTTTTTTGTTAACGAGTGACGGACTGTGTCTTTCTACGTAGTGACAGTAATACAGATAGTAACACCATTTTTATTAATTCGTGAATGTATCCATTAAAGTCACAATAAATGTTCAAACTATTTTCCTTCAGCAGCAATGCAAGCTTGACATCTTCAAAATGATCGGCACGAGCATTACGTATCTTGAAAAGTGACATTATCTCGATTTTTTTGACATTGCATTGGTTTTTTGTGACGTTATGTAGGTTTTTCTACAAGATGTTAGCACTAGCTGATGGATACTGGTTGTGAACTCGTTTTGGCTGTGAATTGATGTAAAATCTGCTTCAGAGGTGGCATTACTTACTAAGCTGTAAGTTGTATAGTATAACTAGAAAAAAAAAACAATGCATAGGTGCTTAGTGGGGATTTGTGTGCTAACAATATGTGTTGTTGATAATTCCATTGGATTCTTGTCTCAAATACACTTACTTGAGATTCAAAGCTAGAAATTACTTGCACATCCGCTTTTTCTTATTAATTCTGGAAATTACATATGAAAATTTGCTGAATTTCAAAAATGAGAGATGAGAAAAGAAAATCCCTGGTTGGTGATGGAACAGGTAAGAAAATATGATGCAGACAGAAATCTTTATAAAAGTGAAAAGGTTATTACATTATGTTTTATTTCCAGTCATTTAAATTTTATAGAAATTTATTTTTCGATGTCATTAGAAAATACAAATCAGGACATAGATGTGAGGCATTGCGAACATTTTTGATGTGTTATGCTAATTACTAATTTTTCTGTTATGTGACTTAATTGCACACAACGCGGGCGCGGTGGCGTTTTCTCGTAGTGCTCCTCAAAGTTTTTGAAAACACAAAAAAACTGGAAAAAACGTAATTTATAACTTTGATCATAACCTGTCTTCGGAAAGGACAACATATAAATAACCCGTCGGGCACAGCTAATAGATATAGTTCTTTGGCAGCACGTTCAGTAATAATTTTCTCACACAGCAAATACTACTGATTCCATACACATGCAGACCAATACACATAATCATCCAGATGCGATCTTGCTATTCAACAAACTTTCTTTCTGTCCCATGGAAACTACAGACTACTCGGCTTTACAAAACATACCCAACCAACAGTAGTTGAGCGATTCCTCCATAGATGGACGCTCACAGCGGTTATAGCGAGTAAACGTGGAATTAACATTTGCATCCTGAAAACTATCTAGAATTCAGGATTACATTATATTGGATTTTTGACGTTTTTTACATAATACCAGTGCGGGTTATAAGACAGGCGAATCTTCCGTTATTAACAAATTCAGCTGCTTCCGTTATTCTGCCCCGTAGCTCAGCTAAATTTTCAATTGGCTTTGAGTGAACATTTTCTTTCACCGCTTCCCACTAAAATATTCTCTAAGAAAACCGGCATAGTGTGCCGGGGGCGGCCGTATTGCTGGTACCACATGTCTCTATAAGTCTTCCAATAAGTTTGGTAAATGATTTTGTAAATAGTCTAAATCTGTACCTCAGGCCAGACTAGGTTAAGTCCAAATAAGTAGTTTTGAGATAATTGTATTTGAAATATTTTTCTGGCATTGTATTATTCTCGTATACGACTTGACATGAGTTGAAAAGTCGTAACTTCCTTATCATTACAGATAGATCGATGCTGCATGTAGCAAATGAAAACTAACAATATTATAAGCTTAACATATTAGACTCATTTTTGATAAAAATGGACTTAACCTATTCTGGCTTTGGGGACCAGAAATAAATTTCGCCATTCAAGAACTCGGGCAGCTCAAAGGGTACAGTTATTCTCTTATTTAGAATCCGGTCCATATGTTTACTTTAAAACGATACTTTGATCTATCTTGACTCATCAAATGTAGATTTTCTACATGCCACTCGTGTAAGTTGTGTAGATTCATTTGACCATCTTTTTTTAATGTCGACTTATCAGTCCATAAAATTTTCTCTAGGAATCGCGGATCTTCCCGGTGTAACATGGTTTGAGAACTCAATGTTTGGAAGATAATCCCGGGCTTGTAGAGATTGTACTCGCTGTAGATTGTGCGGGTGGAGCTCGTTCTTTCGCATGATTCGGTGGCCCGTACTTTTGGGCACTCCTGTGACTTTGACAGCTTGTAGCACGACGACCTCGTAAAGAAAGGAAATTCTTTCTTCACCATGTACTTGATTTGGGAATCGTCTCTCTGAGAGTAAACGGTGCACATTCACAAAAGCTCGGTGATCGGTATGACGAACAGCATTTGGGTACCTCTTACGATAAAGCCTAGCTGCAGCACTAGCATTGCACGTACATTCCCCATAAAGGTACATGTTATTATCTTGCTGTCACTTCGTAAAGTGACACTGTCTGTCACTCCATCTAAGAAAACAATTGGAATTTCTGCTTCCAGCCTGTGAGTCTGCAATGACGAGATTTAATTTTGTTTGTATCATGCATAAGTTGACTCGTATAAAATATAGCATTTCATTTAGGTATTTCCCTACAAATTGATCAAATGAAGCAAGAAAGAAAGGAAAAAGGAATAATCAGATGCGTAGCAGGTGTTAGTGGTAGAACATAAAGAGATTCAAAGTACTAACACTTGCTTCAGAGCCTATTACATTTGATAACCTTATTTACCTAAAAGTAAACATAAACATGATTTGTAGGTAGTCTCCCAGTTGATCTGTCCAGAAATTGGGGAAAATGCACAGTGGGCAGGTAGGCATACTTAAGGATTGAAAGGGTCATAGTGTGGTGATTAGGAGAAACTCAAAGGTATTCTTAGCTTAGCTTATCTACAATTTCGTAGTTTAAACATGTGAATTACAAGTCCACGTCTCTTGACACTATCGATTCTGTATCTATACGAGTACTTTATGAGTTTTTACCCAATGCTATATTTTGCAGCAGTTTTATTTGGAATTCTCCTAATCTACCAATCTAGAATGCAATCTATGTTCACAATCTAACCCTTGCCATGTTATTATATGTTTATCTATACATTTTTATTTACGTCATGTTGATATGAAGCAGTATTATGTTTTTATTTTGAAAGAACTGATGATTCTCTTTATATTTATTTAAGAAATATTTTTTATAGCTTTTGCTAGAGCGGTTTTATTCGTATCTGTAAGTTTTAAAAGAGACTCAAAAATCGTTACCTTTCAAACAGAACCGAGGATGACTTCCGAAATATTTTGTTATCAGTGAGCTAGGATTCAAAGTTCTGAATAAACATTAGGTCACTTAAAGCTCTAAGAATGAATACCACTAACGGCCGTATCATCGGTCCTTCCTACAATTATTGTATTAGATTTTCACACCTTTTTCTCTCCTTCAGAAAGGCTGGGATATTTATAGATTTCTATCGTTCGGTGTGAGCGTCAACGCTCTCCTATTGTGAGGTTTTGCTTTCTATGCTAGTATAGGAAATTTCTGGCTGATTGAACAGATGATACAAATCAAGGTCATGAACAATTTTATGCAAATATATATTTGTAACATAACCTCAAAATAGAGCGCTGACACTGATGGACACGAAAATCTATGAACATCAAGAAGGATGTGGACAACAATAATTGTAGGAAGGACCGACGATACGGCCCTTAGCTACGTAAATCTATAGCAATACGGGTTAGAATCTTTTCCATAAAGGCGACATCGTACGTCTGGCGTTTTTGTTCGTACTTTAGAGGATAGACTTACTGGACGTACCCTTGCAATTCCTTTTACCTCTAATAGTTTGAACGTTGAGGATATTGGCTCGAGTCTAGTTTGAGGTAACGACTAGTCGATGCACAATATGGCAACAATGTTTTAGGTGAGCTTCGAGTGTTTGCACACAATATTAACTATAGGATTCCTACACGTTAACACTTAGATGAGTGCTTCTCACACAAGTCGCATTAGTTTGTAGCTTTCACGATTCAATACATTCCTCATGTGATTAGATCACAGAATATTTATGTTTAGTTGTTGATGCAAACTGATGCATATAAATGATATATGTATAATAAGACAGAAGGTCGCAAAATTGATTTTTTTGTTGGAATTGCTTTGTGGACTTCATATCCCATTCTATCGAAGGCTTGCACGAGCGGTGCGGGTTGCCTACTTTAGGATTTTTGTCGTAATTTTTCGTGGCACCTTGTGAAATATCCCCGGAAACAACGGAGACGAGAAAGCTGATTGATTGGCTATGCTAGGGGCCAGACGAACCTGCATCTGTCGTGAACCTAGGCTGAGCATATACAGGCGCCAGGTCATCACCGCACTGAATAAATAGGTGTATACGACCTAGGAAAAGCGCGGCGGAAGAAAGGTGTCGAACAGGTTCGTTGCAGGCTCCGACAAACATAGGGCGCGCTGGCTACTGGACAAATTATAGCTCAAACTTTTGGTGGGGGTTCTCGCCAACCACTGGAGACCGAACACACACTTATCCTTTTTTAAAGGTCATGAGATTCGATCGGCCTCATGCGTCAGCGTTCCACTTTCTGGGATATTGTTCCGTATACGAGGGCGGTTCAATAAGTACCCGTGTTAGAAATGAAGACACCATTTTTTCCAAAAAAATTCTTTTTATTTTGCAACATAATCCCCTGTTAGAAAGATACAGTTTTCCCAAAGTTCCTGCCTTGACCCAAAAACTCCTTCGGATTTCGCTTAAATTGCTCGAAACACTGCTTCGAAGTTAACAGCCGCATCCGCTTGTTGTCCACCGTGAGCTATCGCGGCACCCATGCGGGCCGACAATTTTTTCATATATAATATTGATTGCCATTCCGGTCGACACACCTACGGCCTCTGCTACTTCGCGCACTTTCGTTCGTTGATCAGCGAGAATCATGTCGTGGACTTTTTGAATGATTTCCTCGGTAACCATGCCTGCCGGGCATCCTGGTCGATCCTCATCAATAACGGATGTTCGCCCACGTTTAAATTCGTTGAACCAATACCTAACTGTGGTCATAGATGGCGAAGTATCCTCATAAACAGGATCCAACTTTGCCTTTATCTGCTCGCATTTTTCCCATCCAAAAACAAAAAGCGAATTACCGAACGATACTGCTCTTTTTCCATCTTAGCGAAAATCACGAAACACGTGTTAATCGAATAGCTGCCAAATCCAAACCGACCCATCAATCAGTCTAAAATTTGTTGTGCCGTCGTCTGATGGATGGCAGCACACGATGATAACATTAACTTCCCTCAGAACGCCCGCTGTCGTCAAACACGGGTACTTATTGAACCGCCCTCGTATTCTAGTCTTCGGGTTGAGATATTTGGGACTACTACTGCTTATGAAATATGTTGCAGTTGTGCCATTCGCCCATCAGGTGGTGTTCGCGGCAAACTGTCGTGCAAGCCAATGCTTATATTGAATACATTTATTTGCTTTTTGTTTAGAAGCGGTGGAATATTTTGACCTTGAAATTTGAAGTCAGTATTCTTTTTTAACCTCCATTTGTTGTTTCATGCGTCCTTCTGTATTTGTGCTATTTATTCCTAGCTTTAAGGATATTTTTTATGAATTCTCGCGAATCTAGTGATTTTAAACAACAGGTCTAGTTTTTAATAATATTAACACCTTTTAGTCGCGCTCTATTTTTTACTTACTAGTTTGCATCGTGGAATCATGTGTTATAACAGTTCCACCTATTTTAAATGCGTGTTTGAAAATGATCTATCGCAGGATATCTAATCATTGCTATGCTGTTTGATACCTGATTCCAGATCAGATAGAAAGTGATTTGTTGTTACCTCAGCATTTGAATAAATATCGTTTTTAACTTGTCATACATAACAGTGCAATTCTATTCTCTCTGCTTTCTAAATGGCATACTGACATAAAATAGTAAGTTTCGTAGTTAACCGGGATAACTAGCGTTTAAAATGGGATTTGCAAACATATTTATACATTTTAATTGTCAAAAATGACGTTTTACTTTTGAAAGGTTCTTTTAGTAATCCCATCGATATTCTGGAAATATCCTGAATATTCGTGTTATTTTGGACTATAACTTGTAAGTTTGATAGTAGTCTAATCATATTAGCAAATTTCCCCTGAATAATTGTAAAGTCTGGTTTTATTTGTTCAATTGTTCACGAGGGTATTTAAAACATTGGTGCATAAAATGGGTACACCAATTTTTGTGGGAAAACTTTTTATTCGACGCAAAAGATGAGAAAATGTGTTTTTTGGGATTTAGTCGAAAGTGTTGACCGGAACGAAAAACTTTTTAGGTATTTGAGAGACCTACAAAATGAGACCACGCGTAAAAAGATCCGCCTAATAGCAAAAATGTTATGGTCGAAAAACGATGCAAAATGCAGGTTTTCGCACTTGGTAATGCGACGATAATTTCACGCAACTACTTGAAATTTTCATACTTGTAAATAACAACAACAAAATTGAAGTATATTGGTTTTTGAGAATTTCTAATTGTTTATCCCAAAACACTTTTAGCGCATTTGTTCAATTACCCACAAATACGAAATGTTTGAATTTCATTAGAAGAAACGTAACCTTTGTTTTTCGCATAAAAATAACATTAATATTTCAGAATGGTTTGTGATTCATATCGGCAAGGTAAACAGGTGTATTTTGCTATTAAACGCTCTTTGAACTAACCCTGTATATTGATCAATAAACTAGTAGTGATGGCCGGAAAACAAGTGTTTTGGGGTAAACAATTAGAAATTCTCAAAAACTACCTGACCAATCTACTCCAATTTTGTTGTGGTTATTTAGAACTATGAATCCTACGAATTTGAAGAATTTCAATTATCTGCGAGAAATCGTCGCATTACCAACTAGTGCCAAAACCCGCACTTTGCCTCGGTTTTCGGTCATAACTTTTTTGCTATTAGTCGGATCTTCTTGCGTGTGGTCTCATTTTGGAGGTCTCATAAATACCTAAAAATCTTATTTGAAGAATTTTTTCGTTCCTGCCAGCACTTTCGATTGAATCCCAAAAAACGCGTTTTCCCATTCGGTGTTGTCGAATAAAAAGTTTTCTCACAAAAATTGCCGCCATGTTTTAAATACCCCCTTTAACAACTTGCATCAATAAAACCAGACTTCAATTATTTCGCAAACAGGGGTATTTTCGTCTAATATGATTAGACTACAGTTTGTAACCTAAAATGATGATGACATAGAAATTGGGCGCCAGAGATTTTTTTAAATGTTACATTATGTTCCGTCCATTTTACCCCTGGAAGTCCATTACAGTATGCCATCGTTTTAGCAGTGACTTAGCGCTAGTAACACAATATAATCAAAAGTTTTAAAATATATATCTACTAGTATAGTGGTGATAGCATCACTTTCTGTATTTTGACCAGTCATATACTTATTAGAACACGTTTAATGTATATGTATATGTGTTATCATATTTTACTAGATGAGTAGCTGAAGTGCTAATCACTTTTATTTTTATAATTACATATATGTGTATGTATGTACTAAGTAGATTACGTGTAATGATAGGTAAGCGTTTCTGTTTTCTTGTGAAATTTTACCGCAACTGCTTTTTGAAGTTGTAAGGAAAAGTAATGCAATTGTACAAAAATGCAATATTCATAGCATGATTTATGTTGAGAAAACTAATGATTATCAAAGGCATCAATAAGATGGAAAAGAGACATTGACATGAGTGGCATGACGTCATCCAGATTACGGCAGAAAGTATATCTGGCAACAACGCTACAAACAAGTTTTACTAGATTTATTATTGCCAACGTTGCAGACTAACACAAAAATGTCACTTGTTGATCAGCTGCTCACCTCAGTACATTTTACCAAATTTTTTGACTTGATGTAGGTTTCTACGTATTAACCTTGCAGCTAAATTTGCTGGCGTCTTGTGCTTCTATTAAAGCAGCTACCCAGTTAACTCTGACGTCACGTCATTTTGATAATCCAGCCTGATTTTCATATTCTCGATCTAGTAAAAAATATGAGTGCCAAAAATTGGGTATCATCTATGAGCAGAGACAGTAAAATTTCACTTCACTGTTCTGTTATATGAGTCAGCTTGTTTAATTGAATTAACTGATTGAAAATGTTGTAGATTTTACTGTAGATGCTATGTATATTTTGAAGAGGTTAAGTTTTGTCATGTTTATTGATATAATATGTATATCATTCAACATCTGATTTACAAATTGAATTTTGACTGATTATTAACAATTAAGAAAGAACAACTTCAGGACTACTACTAAACATTTCGGCAATAACAGAGTATAAAAAGAAATATCTTGTGTTATCAAGTATTCAATATATTTGAACATAGGGCTTTCATACCTACAAGTATATTATGTGTATTGAGTGATAAAATACAGACGTTATTGTGTTGTTTATATCTGGTTCATTTGGTAATGTTACAATTTGATTCTGCAGTAAATTATTAAAATTGCGAACCCATTCCCATAATACTCTGTTGCAAAGTAACATGCCTAAAGGATTTTATTTTCAACGCTAATAGGAACATGATGCGCAAAATTTCCACGTCTCACAAAATTACATCTCGATCTGAAATGGATTTTTTCAATGATAATAATCAAATCCAAGCGAATAACCAAAATTTCTGTGTTATGTGCTGCGGTTATAATATGGTTCAAGATGACACACGGGTTGATGACGTCAGTTACACGAATCGCTTGAACGCGTTGGTTTTAACCGCGGTTTTGTTGCAAGTTGTTTATTTTAGAAAAGCGCATATATAATCTCCGATTATTTTTATTATCACTTAGTAATCGGTGCTTTTTCGTCTACAACTCTATATGGAAAGTTTAAATAAGAAACCTTTCATAATATTCATGGGAGAAATGTTTTTTCAGATTTTTTTTTTTAATGATGGAACCATGGCTTTGTAGCTATGATAACTTTCAATTCCCTAAATTTTACCGCATGTCAAAGAAAACATTTATTGATTCATCAGAAATGATAAAAAAAGAAATTAGCAAAACCGTATACAGGTGGATATCATCTAGTGAGTTTATATGGCCATATTTTGATATTCCTGTGGTATATGGCTACACAGGATACTTTGTTAAGCATAGGAACTACATTTAAAGTGTCCCCAACAACCGTAATGAGTATAACTAATAAGGTGCTCCACTTTATGGTAAAACTGAAGTCAGCCTGTATCATTTTTCTCAAAAATGAAGCTGAAGTACAATAACAATATCCAATACCCGGCAAAATTCTAACTTGTCACATTTCAAATAATAACCAGAAATATAAAACTACTCTTGAGTTGGGTAAATACCACAATTTTGCGGTGATAACTATGACATATAACAGCTGATTCGTGACGTCACGGATCTTATAACCAAACTGATAACTACACTCGCTTGAACGGATTGGTAAATACCGACCCAAAATGGTAAATACCAATTCCATTTGGTTATCCGCTTGAATTTGATTAATGCAGTTTGTCAGTTTCATGTTGGACCTTATTTTAAATCCATGCATTGAAAAAGAAGTCATTTAAATTCTCTGAATTGGCTGCTTGAGGAATCAGCCAAAAGGATTTGTTGTCTATTTCAGATACTGATAAAATGTGCCCATATCAAACTGTCAAATAATGGTTATTTTTCTCACATCTGATGGAAGCCTAGCCTGTAGCTTAACTGCCATGCAGAAATAGGGCTTTGGCGCGAAGTTTTAGATCTAAACTTTGGAGGGCAGGCTTTTCCAGCTGTACGTAAAAAAGTGGAAAATAATTTGTACAGGTAAAGTATTGATATTTCGTCGAATTAAAAAAAGAAACCCCATTAAACATATTAAGTATTTTTTGATAGCCAAAAACCCTGTCAAGGGTCAAAAGATTTTATAATTTTGTACCTAGCCCTGACGATTGTTTGGGAAAATGGGCTCCAATTTTAGTAACTTTCATAAAATTCCTATTTCTTTTTATAGTTGAGTAACTGAATGTATCACAAACTTTTTTACACAACAAATGATTATTGATTACTACATATTGCCTCTTTTGCTACTTAAAATCTTTCACTGGTTAAATACTAATTATCTTCGTAGATTTTATATGGAAGAACATTTGTTATGGATGCTGTTATCACCATTTATTGGCCTGCAAATAATTATTAAAGTTCCTGTATTGTTTGGTATAGTGTTTTTATTCTACATTTTCCTGCAAGTATTACATTCAGCTACTCAATATATTCTAGATAATTAACTGATTTACCTTTGATGTTTAAGCAAGAGCCATATAGTTTTAACAAGATGTATGATCCGAATAATGAATAGGCACATTTTCATATCTTTTTGCATTGGAAGTAAAACAGTGAAAAAATCCAAGTTATTGTAGTCTGTGATGATCTAAGGGTGACTAATGTATTTATTAATGTATTTGTAGACATAGAGGTATTAAACATGTATTTTTCTAACCGAAGGTAAATTTATAATCTTCCATTTTGTTTGTTGAATGTTGAATTGTAAGAAGTCTAACTTTCAAGTTTGGAAATAATCGTATAAGTGCTGTTATATTTTGTAGGTTTCTCAATACAAAATGATGATGTACAACATATTTAGAGTAATTCTAATTATTTGAAACTGTATACAATTAGAGGTTAATTACTTAATTGTATTTTTGCCCACATATTAATAAACAACTGCATAAGTATTTAATGTATTTTTATTTACAACATAAAGGATACCTATATCAAGCACTAATATAACACTTCTTTTTAAGTTCTAATTGGGTACCATTTCTCCAAGACGTCCTTGTATTTCACACGTTCTGAAACAAATATGTTACCAATTCAGCATGAAACTAATATAATAAAATGCATTCTATGAAATCTTGAGAAAATAAGCGGCTTTTCTTAGTAGCATATACACCAATGTCTTAAGAGAACCGAGATATTGGGCTCCGCAAAATCAATCAAACCTGAACCAAACCGAAGCCTTCCTGTCCCTCGATCACGTCCACAGCGCCAGCGTACGACTACGATGTAAGTACGCTGGTATGCAACCTAACCTAGGCGCCTCATGGCACACTAATAGCGAACTAGTCGAGATGCTGTTTATTTACGGTGAGTGTCTTCAAAATGCGACCGAGGCTTCGCGAGTGTATGCAGATCGTTTTCCCAGACGTCGTCATCCAAGGCCTCGCATATTTGATTGACCTGGACCACCCTGAATGGTGCAAACTGAGGAAGAAGTACTGAAGCTCGTAGACGAGAATCCTTCACCAAGCACTAGGGACGTGGCTAGACAAGTGCAAGTGTTGAAGACTGAAGTATGGCAAATGCTGCATGATGAGGGTGTACAAGCCCTCCAAGCTGAGGATTTTCCTGCAAGAGTGCGGTTTTGTAAGTGATTGTTGCACCAACATGATGGTGCACCGCCCCATTTTAGACGTAAAGTGCGCGAGTTCTTAAATGAATCATTTCCGAATAGGTGGATCAGACGTAATGAACCCGTAAGCATGGCCGCCTCCGCAATCTCCAGACAACACCGTGTGCTTGGTGCTTGATGTACAAAACTGAGGTGGACACGGTTGACGAAGTATTATTTGCTCTTGTTTCAGCACACATTAGCTTTGTTATATCAAGCGTAGTTGTGTCTAAAGCAGAACGCCGACGAGATCCTGTATATAAAATTTTCTGAGTTTCAGCAACTAGTAATATGGATGTTAGTGGTGGGGCATAACATTTTTTGTGTGAACTTGATTTCCTTTGTTTTGTCTTTTAGATAAACTGAAAGTGAACAGCTCATCCTGATGACAATCTTGTTCATGAAGAAATGCTCTTCATGAATTCCGCAATGAGCAGTGGAACGACTTTCTGGCGGGGATGCTTGACTCAAGCATTCCTCTCTGGAAGGTGGCGAAGTCGCTCAAAAACGGAAAGCGTGAACAAATCCCACACAACCACGGTCCTGGAGGCATTGTCTTCAGGACAGAGGAAAAGGTTGAGGTTTTCACCGATGCCATGGAAAGACAGTTCTCTCCCAACTATTATCTTGATAATGACCTCGACGAGGAGCAACACATCGTAAGATCTGTCAGGAGATATTTTAGGGCCAACGGGGTCAGTGACAGTCGCGCTACTATTGGTGATTTTTCTTCATCAGAAGATTCTGCTTCAGAAGCTTCTTCAACCGAAGATCTGCTTAGCACATCAGCGGCATCTCCCGAGATCCCGCATTGCACACCAGGTCATATTAAAGACCTTAAAGTGCGTAAAGCACCTGGGGAGGATCAAATCACTAATAAGGCACTGAAGCTGCTTTCGCGGAAGTCCTTAACTTATCTCGTGGCAATAGTCAATGCCATGCTAAGGATCCAGTACTTCCCATCCGCGTGGAAGACCGCTGAAGTTATGATGATTCCAAAGAAGGTGGGTTCGATATTTCCCAGGATTATCGTCCCATTAGCCTGCTGTCAGCTCGCTGAAAAGATGAGTCTACGTCACCTTAAGAATTTCTCGTCAGATCACCATGTGAGTTCTGACGTGCAATTCGGTTTTCGGTCTGAACATAGTACGGAGCTACAGGCGGTTAGGCTGGTGAAACGAGTAACCAGAGGATTCACCCTTAATGAAAGTACAGGCATCTTGCTTTTGGATGTCTCAAAAGCATTTGACAAGGTGTGGCACGCGAGCCTCCTGTGTAAACTAATTGGAAAGGGCTTCCCCTTTTGGCTTCTAAAACTACTGAAATCCTTCCTTGAAGGTAGGAAATTTCAGAAAAAAATTGACAATGTCCTGTTGCCAACATGGCTGATTACAGCCGGCGTCCCTCAGGGTCCGGTCCTTGGACCTATCCTTTACTCACTGTAGATCCATGACGTCCCTAGTCCCAGCAACTGTGAAGTCTTATCTCTATGCTGTATTGCTATCCCAGTCTTGTTCTGGTAACCTAGTCCATGACAGGCTGCAATGTGCGGTGGAGGAAGTATTAGATTAAGCGGATCGGTAGCTAATTAAAACGCAGGCAATCTACTGTCCAAAAAGACGTCGCGGCGTTCCGTCTGAAGTTTCAATGAATGGACTTCGTATACCATGGGAATCCTCCGCTAAGTACCTCGGTGTTATTCTGGACAAAGGGATGACTTGGCGGAACCATATAGAAGCGCTAAAACCTAATTCCAAATTACGTTTCGACAGCTTTACCCATTATTATGTAAACGTTCAAAATTAAGTTTGATTAACAAGATTCGACTCTATAAGGTGGTCATAAGACGAGCAATGACTTACGCTTGTGCGGCTTGGTGTTTTATTGCTAAAACACGCATGCGAAATCTGCAGGATGTTGCGCACTATTGCTGATGCCCCATGGTATGTCTCTAACGAAACTCTACATATAGACCTCGATGTCCCTTACCTAAAGGACTTAGTGGAATCACACAGCAACCCTCTGTTGTGTGAGTCAATGGACAACACAGTCGAGCAAGATCGCAAGCACAAAAGGCCGCGGCTCGCACTGTAATCAAAATTAATTCGTGAAGTTAGAACAACCAAAATTGGAGCATTTTGACAAGATCTTTAGAAATTTTTAGACCATATCAAAATCTGTGAAGTGATTTCAACAATGCCTAAACACTGCCTATCCTAAAAAATTATCTTCATCCCCTTTGCTCTTGTTCTTCCTTCTCTCCTTTCCTTTCCTTTTTTCCTTAAAATTGTCTAGTTTCTGGGTTACCAGACCTGACAGACTTACAAACTGACACTGTGACTCAAGAGCTAAGGTCTCACAGACTGCTCTGACAACCAACGATGACTTGACTTCAGTGAACAGTATTGTCAGTCATCCAATATAGGTCAAATGTGACACTACAGAATTAATAAGTGATATCATACGTCAACCAAGTTAAGATGTAGTCTAAAGCAATGCAACTGCTTCAAGTCTTATTTTTCTAATGTGTTAAAGAGAAAAAAATGAGCTATATCGTGTTTTTCTGGTATATAATAGGGTAGTTTGTCTTTAGCGGAAACAGCCGCTCATTGGGTGCTCCCAAGGTTAATTATTTTGTAACTTGGGACTAGTCTTACCATAAGGTGGAAAATCTTCAGGATGCAGTTGAATATAGTGCCTGAACACAGCATCTCTCTCTGCCAAATTTTGGGTCCTATAATCATCTAACACTTTGCCGACTCCTGCCATCCCAACCGTAGCAATAATGTGTTTCTGGATTCCTAAAAATCCATTGTTTTATTATGTAATTTGCGAAGCAGGTTATGAACATACCACTCATGACTGGCCTACGAGTAGCCCAGTTAGCGATCAAAACACCTAAAAATCCGATAATCCCACAGCATATGGGGCTTCCATATATGGTTAACAATGGTTTTTCTATGGTTGTAACATTTTCTAATAATTCTAGAGGAGTTTTAGCAACCCTGGGGCTGTTTGCGGACATTTTTGTTTTGGTTTCGTATCACTTTCTGACAGATTCGCACTGTTCGCAGACGTTTCCCAGCTAACTCAGCTTGGAGCGACAGCGACACAAAAGCACAAAACACAAATTCTCTTATTCCGTTAAACCAACTGCGTTTTCTTTTGAATTCAAGACGTGAAAATCATGGCTGCGATGCTGTAAATTAGAACCATTTGGTTTTGAACGATTCTGTGTGAAATTCACAAAACCCTATTTTTGTGATCCTTTTGAAACTGTCTTGCTTTTCCCTACGATAGGCACAAGTCTCGAAATCAAACGTAAAATTCCTGTATGTATTTTCATATTAATAATATAATTTATCCAGCTCAACGCCATGGTTGAGTTGGCAGTAATGTCCTTAAGCTAACTTTTACTTCTCACGCTGGCGAAGAAGTATTGTAATCGTGAAAAAATTTCAAAAATGAGATATTTGTGTTTTTTGAATGTCATACGACATGTACATTACAAAAAACCGTGTCACTCATTTCTATCAGCCTGTCTGTTGATCTGTGTGTGAGTCGAGCTGTCTGTCTGCTAATCTTTGGCCCGTCTATACTTGTAAAGTACCGGTCAGATTTTGATGAAATTTTCACACAAGGTTACTAACTATGCTAAGACCGAAAAAGCTTTTTAGCTTTTGAAAAACATTCAAGTGGCGGGAATATGGGCAAAAGTCGAAAGAAATAAAATGCCTCCAAACTTTGTCTTCTGACGCTTCAGGGACTCATAAGTATTTTTGGAAAAAATTGTATCCTTAACACTCAGATCTTAGATCCACGTAAGATGTTATCATAGTATCATATTTTCTCAAGGGCACGGAGAGGGCCATCCACCGGCAAGAGATATTTTTATGTGAAGGCGTATCTGCCCTAAGCTTTTTAAAGAGCGACTGGTAGCATATTTTTCTCAGTGGGACAAATCCTGAAGAGCCTCGAAATTGTAGAGAAAATCATGCTAAATATGTGAATTTTAATTGTAAGAGCCTGTTTGAATAGCTTGATCCACTTAATTTTTTCATATACATCTTCGTTACTAATTTTTTTTTCTCAAAGGAGCTAACTAACTAACTAACATCTTTTACAGCTCTGCAAAGGAAGCTTAAAATGTGTCAGGCTTAATATTTACACAATCCCGCCACTGTCTTGCGTGTCAGTTAATCGTGACAACGTTCGTGACCGGCTTTATCTATGTATACTTTTTTGTTGTTCCATGCACTTTCAGCATGTATGTTTATGTTTTGTGAATCCATGGAAAGGGAAAGTAAGCTGTAATTTGTGATTTTGTGATTCATCCCCATTTTTACAATCTTTTAAATTTTGTGCTTGTTTGTTTTGCTAACCTCACTTTTGGATGAATGTGAACGAAGTGGAGTTTCACAATTTTTTTAGTTTGTGGGCGTTTTTCTCCCATTTTTCCGTGGGTGAGTGGAGTGCAGAGCCTCCAAGATGCCTCCAATCAAGCTCGCATCTAATAATGCTGAGATGAGCGATAATGAGATGTCTGGCAACGATTCTGAGCACTCGAACTCCAGCCCAGAGAATGATATGCCCCATGGAGACTCCACAGAAGACGAGCCCGATTCTGACGATAGCTCGGACATGGATGAAGGCGAGTGCGAGACAAGACGCAACGCTTTGCTGCAACACGTTCAAGATTTGGAAAGTCAATTTGGACTGTTACGGGAACAGCTGTACAGGGAAAGATTATCTCAGGTAAGAAATTAGGTGCATCAAAGAACTTCTGCAAGGGTATTAAGTAAAAAATTAGCCAAACACCCCTCTAACATTTAAGCTTCAAGAAAGTACTTTATACAAGAACTTATAAAATGACTTGCAACATCAGCACATGAATCTAGTTGTAGTAATACTGTGCATTTTTTTTATCACATTCGCTTGATCATTTAGTTTTGCAGCATTATATAAAAATGAACTTTGGAGTAGTGGTGAATGGTAATGTATACTTGTCATCTCTGTCTTAAATCAAGACTGTGTTTGTGTTTTTAACAAGTTTTTCAAAGAAGTACTCATTTCCACTCGAAAAGCATTGTATAAGAATAGACTGAAGTTAAAGCTAAAAAAACATATCTAACAGAAAACAGTCAAGTAGTTCTTTAACACAATAAACTCCACACTATAGAAGCTATTTACAATTAAAAAATCTTTTAAGAGTTTCTTCAATTTATTTAGATTGTGAAAATTCTTTATTTCCAAAGGCAGTTGGTTAAACATTTGTAGACCAATAATATTTGAGGAGTTACAACTAATTTTAGTTCTATAGGGTGGTATATAGAGGTCTTCACTAATCCTTCTGTTAATTGAATGCAATACTGTGTTGCAAGTGTGAGTACTTTAAACTGCTTGAAACAAATCTCTACATGATGTTTTACCACTAACACCTACTATGCTTTGTATCTGATTATTATTTTTTATCTTATGAACATATCTCAATCAATTTGTCAACCTGGGCATGATCCAAACTAATTAATTGATTTATTGGTAGATTATCTCATAAATTTAATAACAGATAATATTATGAATTGAATCTCCTTATTGCATACTCACAGTGCTGCTTCCAGTCCATACAGAAATCCAAATGAACACAAAGAAAGTTACACATTTTACATTATGAGTATCAGCATAATTCAAAATTTAGTTTGTTGCAGTTTCTTCACCTTGTGTGAAATCTAATGTATTGTCTTATTCAAATTAAAATATATTATTTAAAAAATAATTATGCAGCCTAGACACTGAAACATCTACAGTAATGGATAAAAGTATATAGACAAATTAATATTGTGCTGCATTTCTTTTTTAACTTGTTTTATTAATACATCAACCTGTATACATAATTCGTTATAGCATAATACTCACTTATACATAAATAAATTTATTAGACTCCCTTCAATAAAAAATTAATTGAAAAAACTGGAACAATGAAGGACAAAAATATATATAGACAAAGCAAAATAATTATAGAAAAAGAAGCAAAGTTCATTGAATTATAGAAAACCAACCATGGTTGTGTTAATATTTTGTGGCATAACCATTATTATCAATCACCGCCTGGCATCGTCTCGTCATTGATTGTAGAAGTTTCTTGATATAAGATTCATCAATCTGTCTCCACTTTTGCTCTAAAGCAGCAAAAAGGTCATCCTTGTTTGAATAATTTTTATCTCGTATTTGCTTATCCAAGTAATCCCATAGATTTTCAATGGGGTTTATATCGGGAGACTGTGAAGGACATTTGAGAACTGGTATTTCTTCATCCAGGAAGAATTTCTTTGCGAGATGTGAAGTGTGTTTCGGGTCATTATCTTGCTGGAAGATTGATCTTAAGGGCATATTGTCTTCCATATAGGGTAACGTGACATGCTTTAGTATGTCTGTGTATACAAGCTTATCCATAATGCCATCTATTCTATGTAAAGGTCCCATCCCAAACCCCGAAAAGCACCCCCAAATCATAACAGACCCGCCTCCATGTTTGACAGTGGACAAAGTGTACTTGGGGTTCAATCTTTGTTCACTAGGACGTCTAACGTAATGACCATTTGATCCAAACTTATTGAACTTGGATTTGTCATATTGTCTTCCATATAGGGTAACGTGACATGCTTTAGTATGTCTGTGTATACAAACTTATCCATAATGCCATCTATTCTATGTAAAGGTCCCATCCCAAACCCCGAAAAGCACCCCCAAATCATAACAGACCCGCCTCCATGTTTGACAGTGGACAAAGTGTACTTGGGGTTCAATCTTTGTTCACTAGGACGTCTAACATAATGAACATTTGATCCAAACTTATTGAACTTGGATTCGTCACTGAAACATACCCTCTTCCAGTTACAGATGCTCCAATCAAGATGCAAAGGTTTTTCCTCGAGATTAGCGGCTTCTTACTCAGGCGACGTGCAAATAACTTCAAATCATTTAATCTTCTACTTATAGTTTTCGTAGAAACACTAACAATTCCTTTTGTCTAGATTTCGGCTTTTATTTGTCTTGGGGTTTTAAACGGATCTTTAGACAAAATTACTTTTATTAATCTAACTGATCTAGCACTTAGTTTTCTAGGCCGACCACTTCTCTTAGAGGCTTCCAAGATACCTTTTTGTTTATATTTGTTCAATATTTCCCAAACTGCTTTACACTTCAGCTTCAAATTTTTGACATCGCAAGAAATTTCTGGACCATGCGGCATGGTCTTAAAATCACTCACTTATTCCACAATACTTGATAAACACAAGCTAATCCTCTTCTGACACGAAACTGTATTAAACTAATGTTGAAAAGAATTGTCTACATATTTTTGTCCCTCATAAAAAAGTGCTTATATTCAGACTTGTATTGTGTTCATTGCAGATAATGTAAAAACAAGGAATTTAGTTTTTCTACTAATAACGCATTTGTTTATGGAGCAATGAAGTATGAATTCGTTTTCTAAAGGTATTTAGGTAAATATTCATATTTGTCTATATACTTTTGTCCATTACTGTATATTGTGTTGTCAATGTTCATCAGAAACACTAGTGGTTACAATCAAAGTACTATCTGCAAACAAATTTATCAATACATCAGATACCACTTTAGGTAAATTGTTTACATGAAGCAAGAATAAAACCACACCCATCAAACATTCTTCAGCCCTAGAATTAATTTCTACCCGAGTACAATCAGAGCTTAAATGTGAAGCTACATACTGCTTTCTGTTTGTAAGATGCAATCATTCTAAAGACTACTATTTTAATCTTCATCCTTTTTCTGGAATTTTAAATCATGTTCTTTTAACATCATCCAGGTGGAGCTGCAACTGTCCGAGGTGAAATCCGGTAAATCTCCGGACTATCTGCGCGCTCTGGCTGAGCTGCAAGAGAATATGCGCGTGCGCATTGAGGTGGCCGGCGTTTTGAGACAACTCAGGCTGCAGGGCATCAAGAACATGTATGAGGCTGAAGAACAGGCAGCGCTGCAGAATTTTGAAAGCGAAAAAAGCCTGGCGTGTGATTACTACTATAGTGAACTGATGGAGACGATTCGTAGGTTGGAAGAGGACAGACATAACAGTGAGATCAGTTGGGGGGAAGGAGGAGAATGGTGCTCAAGGTATCAAAGATACGACTTATTAAGGTTTTTGCTCACTATGCCATGTCATATTAGGATATTGTCATGGCATGTAAACAGAATTTTGCTTAGACTACCTTTAGCATTCCAGACTATCAATAAATTTGACTCATTGAGGCGACGCGCAGTGTTCCATTTATGCGAAAACCTAGCAATATCGTTAGATTTATTTTACATGTGTCATTGAAATGCCATTCACATGTTCTTATAATGACTAACTGACCTTCAGTTCAATTGCCAGACATTTTTTGAAAGTGTCCTTGAAATGACCGTGAGTAACCTTGCATTCATAGAGATGAACTAACCACGGTTTTCATGTCAGCGACCGAGAAAACCCTGCTGTATAGGATATTGTGTGCATAAAATAAAATTGTATTTTACTTCAATTGGAGGAGGGTAGCAGAAATACTATCTTCTATGTTGGGATGTTTTGAAGAGCAAAAAAACTCACACGCCACGTCTTACCCAAGGATTGGGTATCTTATTAAAAATACTTCACTTTGAAGCATATGCCCCGCCCCCAAATGGGCGCCCGTGAATTTTGACTCTAAAAAAATTATGTTTCTGTGAATTTATGAAAAAACATTTATGAAAGTCGATAGAAGAAACCTGGAATTACAAATTTGGTTACGCCATCTTTGGTAGGGGAGAGAAAGTGCAATTGCAACGTAGTTTATTTTGAAATCTGAAAATGAATTTCACGCCCTACCTAGGAAATTCTGTTTTTTTAAATAACCAAGGTTTGGCAATGTCAAAGTATGATATACATTTTTAGAATCATAATTAGAAAACTATTTACTGGCGCAAAAATTCAATATGGCGTCTACAAGAAAAAATGAAGTCGATGATTGAGGACGAAGATGAAACGTCATATTGAAATTCTAATTATGCCGTCTTGTAAAGGAGAAAAATTGGCAATGAAATAAGGAAAAAATAAATCGATTTTGTGAAAAACTGCATTTAGAATACGCAACTTTTCCCCCATTTAAATGACTTCATATCTCTCACAGTTTTCGAGATCCCAATGTTGATGGTCGAATTTGAAACACCCCGTATATCATGTTGATATTGTCTAGGAACGGTTTTCTCATGTATTGTTGATAGTCGCGATATTGACATTGACGTTCGCCAAGCTCCTACATCACTAGTTTGCTAATATAATGCAACATGTTTCAGGTCGAGATCTAGATCTAGAAGAAAAGCAGTTACTGTATCCGGTCCGTACATTGTATATATGCTCAAGCCTCAGGATATTATGGAAGATTGGACAGTAATCAGGAAGGCTCTGAACCGGACATCCTGACAGATTAGTTTTTAGGTTATTGGTTTGGTAATCCGTGACTATTTCACATGGCGAATTGCAAAATATTATAGCATACATATAAAGTTTGTTTTGCGAGTATGTCTCGGGTAGATGTTACTCCAAAGCTTTTGGTACCTGGCAACTAAATTTTAATTGTTGAAGTCCAGTGTGACTCTGCTTGAAAATAGTCCAACCTAGCAACAACTAGATGTAAAATAGTACATAAGTATCATGCTTATGTGTAAACTATTTAAGAATGAATAGGAGAAATTGTATGACATTTATATTGTCTTCCCATTAAATGGTTTGTGTTAAACGTCATATTTGAGGATGCATGATTGTAATGAATGATTCCTCATAAGGGGAAAATTGTTATATGATTTTAAAAAGTAAATGTGAATATATTATTTATGATATGCATGATTGACATTCTTTTATTGAACAAATGACCTTGGAATGCAATTTTATTACTATACCCTATTGGTAGTCCATTCACGCCCCGGCACAACAAAGATGCGGCGCGGCAGAGCGGCAATCGCCTAAACGTTGCAATAACTACTGGTAATTCGGCCATAAAACTACGAACAAGTGCAGAATTCGACAGGGTAAAACTCAGGCTCGGGGTATCGCCGGCACGCCGACGCAGACAGTTGCTGTTCATATTCGGTGCAGATGTAGCGTGTGTTTATACGTTAGCATGTCGAATATGCACACAGCAGATGAAACTGAGAAAATTTCTCCCAATGCTTCTTTCAGCCATGCTTCCTCTTCAGTGATGTCTCCTCCCCGAAAACGAGACAAGAAGGGACATTGAATATGAAATAAGAAATTGTCCTTAACGTTTATAAGAGCGAAATTTTAGAGCATTCTGAAATGGAAATTCATTGTTGAGGAATATAAAAAAAAACAAAACATTGTCTCCACCACACAAGAGGCTGCCTTACCCGAAGATGTTGGATACAGTTGGTAACTTTGATCGGAATACCATCAGACACAGAGTCCATTAATTTTTTGAAAGGCAGGAACATCCCACCATAGTCAAAGTATTACAGGAGGTTAAAAGTGATGACCTACTTTCAAAAGGACCACATTATTTTGAGTATAGAAAACGGCGAAGAAATAGTATTTTGATGGACAGCCAAGAGATTATGTTATGGAGAAGAAATTATTTAAAATCAATAAAGAAACCTGGATAAATGCAGTACATACAAAACCTAAAGTATGGTCTGACTCTACAAATAGATCAGCAAGACAAGCCTTCTTAGATGGACTAACCACTGGCCTAAAGAATCCGTCAAGTACGCGTATCTAACCAATCTAGTCATTTGTGTTGTAAAAATAATTTTAATCTTAATTACCACGTCTACTGGCGAGGAATTATTGTAATCGCGAAAAATTTAGAAAATGAGATATGTTTTTTGGATCTTATATAATAATAATCGTTTTTATAATGATTTCATTAAAAAGGGAGAAATTTAGCTCATGCAGCTATTCCTCCACTTGCCCCAAATATCAAAATAGAAGTATAACGCTGAACAAAATTATTTAAATCTATTTAAATTTGAAATTCACTATTCAAGAACACAAACATAAAAAATACTCATTTATGCAGGAGGTGATCTATCAAATGATACGTAAACTTATTCAAAGACAGTAGTTTTGGATTTTCCCAGATAAAATTGTACAGGGTAACTGTGTTAAATGTGAAACATGAGTTAACTAACGCTGTCTTGTAGTGTGGCATTGTGAATAAATGTGGAGATCTGATAACTCTATTGGATGAAATTATATTTAAGCGAGGTATAAGGTAATTTTACGAATATAATGACTTTTTATTAATCTTAATTTTGTGTCTAGAGTGAATACATAAATGGTATCGGAAAAGCCCAGCGACGACTAACCAGCCCATGCTATCAATGGTCCGTGAAGTATGATCATCTTTTTTTTAGATTATTTATTAGACCGCAACAATTATTATTTTGGATTTTTCCTGTCGTTATATCTAAACATGGAAAATAAAGGGTAACATAATATACTTAATGCCTCTACATATACACTGAAAACCAAATTTGTCTGACGGCTTCAGTTCAATGTGTACGAGAGAAAAGTGTGCAGAGGCACATCAGTTAGAAAGAGATAGAGCCTGGCTAGATAGCGAAGCTCATGGCTACGTTGACGCGGCAATTTGCCGTGTTGCCAATATGTTACACCAGTTCCTTGAATTAGGATGCATATTGAGAATATGCGTTAGTATTCTTTACGCCCAAATAATGGTTTTATTGTGAACGCACATATTTTTGAATTGTGTCGAATTTGTTCATGATCGATTCTGAATATTAAATGTAATGAACCTATTGTAGCAGCCTGTGCGAACATTTTCTGGTTTAACATACTGGCAACGCGGGATTTTCCACAACCTTCTACGTCAGCGTTGCTAGGCAATGTGGTGATGACCTTCGCTGTTCAGATGACTTCTATCTCTTAACATACACACTTATCGCGCTCTCTCTCGTACACATTAAACTTACCGTCAGATGAATTTGTTTTTTCCTGTATACGCCGAAATAATAAATAATATTTTCTAGGAATTTGACTGCCGTGCTCAAGAAGTCTTAGTTTTTCATCGAAAATTACTCCAATTTTTGTAACACAATCACGAAAAACATTGCCACCCGTTTCCGTTGGTCTGTGTCCGCCTGTCTGTCCGTTAATCCTTAGCCTGTCAATAACTTGTAAAGTACCGGTCAGATTTTGATGAAATTTCCACACAAGGTTACTACTACGCCAAGGACGAAAACGCTTTATAGTTTGATAAGATCGGTCCAGTGGCGGCGGAGCTTTGGGAAAAGACGAAAGTGGTAAAATCACTCAAACTTCGTTTTTTGACGTTTCAGAGGCTCATGATCATTTTCTGAACAAATGTGTAGGCGGTGAAGGGGTGGGGGTAGTGTATGCCTCAATTTTTAACCATTACTAGATTTATACTTTTCCAACCCCAGTAGTTCAACACGCCTATGAGTACATACTTCATACATCAAAGTTCATTCCCCCGTACATTTTGTTAACAATAATAATAATGCTTATTGGAGTATTTTTACAAAATAAAGATGAATATAAAAAACAAACACTCCTAAAGACTGAGGATTGACATTGCCATTTTTCGTCACATACAGCAATTAAAAGAGCTTATTATTACTTGCCATTGAAACTTATCGTCAATGGGCTCACCTAGTGGTTAGGTATGGGGAGGGACGCCGTTGCCAGATTGATGGGAATATATGTTTATGGACTTAATATTATGGGCCTGGTTGGCTGACGTCATCCGTGTAATTTTCTTGTTTTACTGTGTTAATTGACAGTGTTGCATGGGAAAGTGCAGTTAACCTATTTGGCGCTATTCCTTTTAAAACTAATGGAAACGCGGATTATGTTTATTCTGCGGGTTAGCAGTATAATGCAACTTGTTGACAATAAAATTGCCAACAGGAGATGCTCTATACAAGATGCTTCTGAATCGTCTATTATTTCTCTAAGCAGTATATAAAATAAGGCTTGCATCCTAAATTCAAAATCAGGTTTATAAAATAAAATTTTTCAGAAAAGCTGCTTTGTTTGATATAATCTTTCTGCCGAAAATATACAAATTTCCATAATCAGCAATCAAAAAACCCCAGATATAAATATTCTGCTCGATTTGCCAAATGTCAGGCTTTTGTAAATCATAGGACCGGTATTGTAACAAGACTGCTTGACTCAAAAACGTCTCCGTTCCTGGGAATTAAAGAACAATTTGTTAGATAATGGAACAAACTTATCGAAAACATTACTTTTGAGCCATTAATATACAGCATGTAAAACACTTTTTCAGCTTTGCGTCAGAGCTATTCCGCTTAGGGCGACTTGAATGAGCTAATTGTTCTCGGTGATGACTTATCTAGTTACTATGCTGTCAGAATTTCGTTAGATTATTCCCTCAGATACCGTATAAGACTAATCAATCCTTTTAAAAATTGCAGATCTCTGTTCGATGTCGGATGTCTTTTATTTACAGAATCGCAATAACGTCGTGCAATACTGCTGAAAACAACACGACGTGAGTCATAGGCTTAAGGCTGTGTAAGACTGGTTGTCTACAATACAGAGCATAGTGGACTAGTGCCATCTCCTGACATACTGTTTAAGATCGAAATACGTGTAAAGCAAACTGTAATTAGTTTGAAGATAAATATGGTAGTTTCATAGCATCTCATGAGATGTCCACCATACCACTACCAACCCGTCAATGTAATCAAAATCATATGTTCCATGTCAAAAATGATATGAGATATGCGTCAAACTCAAAAGTCGGCCCCGTCAAGGCGATTTCACAACTGGAAAAAAATATTCCTATTTGGACCCGGACCGCCTGTGAGTTCGTCTTGCCTCACGTCCTGAGCAGAGCCGCTTCACGGCCCCCCAGACGGTCTCCGGCGCGTTGAACGGTCCACAGTACGAAAAACGTCTGCAATCGCGAGAGAGGAATGCAAACATCGTTTGTTGACATAGCCCGCAATGTTTAATTTGGATTTGAAGCATGTTCTGCGACAGAGCGGAGTCTGTAAGAAGGCCGAGTGCGACGTCTTGACGGTGGCCGGCGTCTAAAGTCTGCTTTGCACCGAGATCGTGATAATGTGAAGTTCCCGATATGGACCAAAGAGCTACTGCATCTTCGGGCGATAGCCCAGGTAAGGTTGCATGTTTGCGGATGTTTATGTTTACTTTAATAGCTAATGATACGCTGTTCGCACTGCTGTGCATGTTGTATTATAGTAATTGCTGCCTGAATTTGAACTCACAGAACCAGAACCAACATTCCTTTAATACATGTTAAATCCATGAAATGAAACATAATCATCTGTAGTTTTAGTTTACTGGATATGTTGAGGAAACTGAAATAGAGAAACAACTACAGGATAATTTTGCTTGCTTCAACATATGCAATTAAATGTACATTGGAAGAAGAACATTTAACAGAACATCAGTTGTACATAAATATATTTTGAAACATATTGTTTTCTACCATATTCATCATACTTTTGCTATTGTTGTTAATATACTGCTCTATCTACTCCCTAGTGCATTTATATTTCATTAAACAGAAGCTCAACTTTCAAGCAAGTCTCCAATATGAAATTATGTTATGCTATATAATACACCCACAGCTTGCAGATCTAAATTTATTTTTAGTTGATAAAATTATTTTTTAATATTTATGGTTACACCAAGTAGTACTTATCAAAGGACCAGGTACCCAGTCAAATTGGAATTCTGAGTGGCAGGTACTCAGCATAGTGATTTACTCTATATCCACAACTGCTAACGATATTAAGAATATATTTATTTTGAAAGGTCCATTATTATAAGAATTCGTTTATTTATCTAAGAAATTAATAAACCACAAAAAACTGTTGTGCAGCTTAAACAAGTTTTTGTGAGTGAAGCTGACATAGGTTAGTGTACATACAGATTTTTCAAAACGTTAGTATAAAATTACATTTTAAAATATTTAGGGTTACACCAAGTACTACTTATCAAAGTACCAGGTACCCAGTCAAATTGGAATTCTGAGTAGCAGGTACTCAGCATAGTTATTTACCCTATTCTCACTACTGCTAGTGATATTTAATAATATATTTGCCATTTTGAAGGGTCCTTCATCATCAGAGTTGGTTTATTTATCCAAGAAATTAATAAACCACAAACAGTTTTCAAAAGTTTGTGTACATACAGATTTTTCAGAACATTTGTTTGTTTATTGATATTTAACTGAGACTGGCTGAAAGTGTCTGGTTCAAGAGAGGTGTCTCTATAAATGAAATAAAACATAAAACATGTTTTTAATGAAAACCGAATCTATTAAAGAAACTGGGACATTTAAAACTTCTAACTTAAGAAAACAAGGTTTGTTACCTTTAGGCATATACAAAGTATATACTATACATATGTATAATATAATATGTATGTTCATACATACAGTAATGGACAAAAGTATATAGACAAATTAATATTGTGCTGTATTTCTTTTTTAAGTTGTTTCATTAATACACCAACCTGTATACATAATTCGTTATAGCTTATACATGAATAAATTCATTAGACTTCCTTCAATAAAAAATTAATTGAAAAAAACTGGAACTATGAAGGACAAAAATATATAGACAAAGCAAAACAATTATAGAAAAAAGAAGCAAAGTTCATTGAATTATAGAAAACCAACCATGTTTGTGTTAATATTTTGTAGCATAACCATTATTATCAACCACAGCCTGGCATGGTCTCGGCACAGATTGTAGAAGTTTCTTGATATAAGATTCATCAATCTATCTCCACTTTTGCTCTAAAGCAGCAAAAAGTTCATCCTTGTTTGAATCAGTTTTATCTCGTATTTGCTTATCTAAGTATTCCCATAGATTTTCAATGGGGGGAGTATTGGGAGACTGTGAAGGTCATTTGAGAACTGGTATTTTTTCATCAAGAAAGAATTTCTTTGCGATATTTGAAGTGTGCTTCGGGTCATTATCTTGCTGGAAGATTGATCTTACGAGCATATTGTCTTCCATATAGGGTAACATGACATGCTTTATTATGTCTGTGTATAAAAACTTATGCATAATGCCATCTATTCTATGTAAAGGTCGCATCCCAAACCCCGAAAAGTCCCCTCAAACCATAACAGTCTCCGCCTCCATGTTTGACAGTGGGCAAAGTGTACTTGAGGTTCAATCTTTGTCTACTAGGACGTCTAACATAGTGAACACCATCTGATCCAAACATATTGAACTTGGATTCGTCACTGAAACATACCCTCTTTCACTCAGAGATGCTCCAATCAAGATGCAACCGTGCAAATTGTAATCGGTCCTTACGGTTTTTCGCGGCTTCTTACTCGGGCAACGTGCAAATAACTTCAAATCATTTAATCTTCTACTTATAGTTTTCGTAGAAACATTGACAATTCCTTTTGTCTCGACTTCAGCTTTTAATTGTCTTGGAGTTTTAAACGGATCTATGGACGAAATTACTTTTATTAATCTAACTGATCTAGCATTTAGTTTTCTAGGCCGACCACTTCTCTTAGAGGCTTCCAAGATACCTTTTTCTTTATATTTGTTCAATATTTCCCAAACTGCTTTACGCTCCAGCTTAAAATTTTTGGCAATGTCGACTTGACGTTGACCATCTTTGTATATCTCAATGATCATAGTTTTCACATCGAAAGAAATTTCTGGACCACGCGGCATGGTCTTAAAATCACTTAACTTATTCCACAATACTTGATGAACACAAACTAATCCTCTTCTGACACGAAACTGTACTAAACTAATGTTGAAAAGAATTTGTCTATATATTTTTGTCTCTCATAAAAAAGTACTTATATTCAGACTTGTATTGTGTTCATTGCAGATAATGTAACAACAAGGAATTTAGTTTTTCTACTAATAACGCATTTGTTTATGGAGCAGTGGAGTATGAATTCGTTTTCTAAAGGTATTTAGGTAAATATTAATATTTGTCTATATACTTAACCACAACAACAATGAAATAAAAAGTCACCTTAAATATCTACAAATTCATATATTGTCGTTTGTCTCATCTTCTTCTTTAAAATGGCATCTTGAAATTGTATTTCCAATTCAGAAAGACTCTGTATCTCCCGGATTTTCAACAAAATGTTTGAGCTGCTTGGTCAGGGTTATAGCTTTACCATAATTTGGAATAGCTTCTGTTGGTACTGGAACCTCGTCAACATCAGAATCTTCAGAAAGTTCTTGTGTTTCAACTGGATTTTCAATTTCTTGGCCTGGATCTTCAACATACAAACTTTCATCTAGGTTCAAAAAATCATAAAGGTTTTCATTATCAGTCAACTTCAATAAATTCTCATTTCAGAGGATATCTGAAAGTACATTAAGTGGTAACTCATCTTCTGGGTTAGGTGTATCAGCCTCATTTAACTGATCTTCATTTTGCATATTTTCATGCTTAGAGCCTGCTTCGCAGAAGCAATTTTGTACTGTTTCTTTGGTTTCTTGGTCCCAAGCAGTTTTTGCCAAATTAACTACATCCAATGACGTAATTTTCTTGCTTAACTCAAAAGCTGTACCAGAAGTTACAATGTTTACTAGCAGGTGTTTGAGTATTAGACTTAATAAGTCTTAAAACGCTTTATAACCTCTTGATCAAGTGATTGACAAGCTGATGTACAATTGGGGGGTAAGCAAATGTTTTCTGGATGAGATCCCGCATTGTCTAAAAATAACAAAATGTTTCTTTTTTCTTTAGTCATTTTCCAATCTGGGTCTTACAGCCAGTCTGTCATAATTTTGTGCCATTTCTACAATGAATGTGTCGCTCACTGTGTCTTTTCGGCATGGACGTCAGACTTATACTGGAAATTTAATCGAAAGCGTGTACCCAAATAATAAGAACGGTAAATCCGCGACCAACTCGGGGAAGTCCCTAATTCACACCGGGCGGAACTGCACTACATGCAATGCAATAGCGATGCTCTCAACACAAAATAAGACAAAGCGTTTCTTTTCATTTTGTTTTTTGTCCGGCTAGGGGAACATTTTCTCGTGTCCGCGTCCGCTCAAGAGAATGTCCAAGAAAGAGTTAATACAATGTAGATTATCACTGATCAACAGCCAAAAAATATCATAAATAAAATCAACAAAATATTACTATTTTTAATGTGCTAAAACCGGAATGAAACTTATTTTTTCAATATTAGTTCAAGTTTTAGAGTACGGTAAGTATATGTGTTCCTGCTGTGACAGTGTTAATATACTGTAATTCACAAGAATGCACGTGCTATATTTCTATATTCGGCAAGGAAAGATGATGTAATCGGCATGATTGTGTTACGTTATACATACGTGTACATTATATTGTTTTATATTCGCCATTTTTTCCTCAGTTGGCTGACAGCGTTCATGCAAGATGTCTCGAAAGTGTGTAAACAATCCAGATCAGTTTTGTTACGTGTGTGGTAATGTGACTTTTGCGTCTCAGAGACGGTCTATTACTCCACTAATAACAAAGGCATATCAGCTTTATTTCGGTTGTAAACTACGTGATCAAGACAAACAGTGGGCACCCCACATCTGCTGTAATACATGTGCTTCAAATCTGAGGAGCTGGTTAAATGGCAAAAAACGGTCTATGCGCTTTGCTGTCCCAATGGTTTGGAGAGAGCCTACAAATGATATTCATGATTGTTACTTTTGCATGGTACCTTGTGTTGGACAAGCCACAGGTATGTCCAAGAAAAAAAAATCGGTTATTAACTACCCAAACATACCATCTGCGATGAGACCTGTGCCTCACAGTAACGAAAATCCTATTCCAAAACCCCCAGAATCCTACACTTGCGAATCAGAAAACGAATGAGATCATGGCGATCGAGTGATTCGTCAGGAAGAAGATATGCCATCAACGTCAAGAGATCCTGATTTTATACCGAGCACGTCATGCCACCAACCGCACAAAATAACACAGTCAGAATTAAATGATCTTGTAAGAGATTTAGAACTTCCAAAATGTAAGGCAGAGTTACTTGGATCAAGACTGCAGCAGTGGAACTTGTTAGAAGACGATGTTTCGGTATGTGTTTTTCGTAAACGCCACAAAGACTTAGAAGCATTTTTCAATATGGAGAATAACTTGGTTTTCTGCAGTAACA